CCAGGATAAACAGGAATACTGTGGTACCCAGGGCTCTACTGTGCCTCCCTGAGGCCAGGACTCCCATAGTCCACTTGGGGCAGAGATGGGGTGTCTGGGAATAAGCCGGTATGTCCTGGATGCCTACTTCACAGTCTGCTCTCCACAGAGACCCCTAGCGCCAGAGGCACGGCCAAAGTGTGTAGGCATCGGCCCCCCAGCCAAGCCTGTGCTCGTGCGCCCCACTCCACAGTCGCTGTCCCCAGCCTCTGTGGCAAAGGCTCCAAAGACCCCTAGCAAGCCCGTGGCTGCCCCAATCCTAGCTCAGGACTGGGCTCCTCCAGAATCTGGTGAGTGCCCATCCAGGAGCAGAGGCTGCCCAGATAGGCCAGGGCAGCTGGGCCCCGTAGCCTCACCTGGCCACCTGCCCTCACAGCCTCAGCCTCCCCGGAGTTGGTCCGGTATTCCACACTCAACTCAGAGCACTTCCCACAGCCCACACAGCAGATCAGAAGTATCATCAAGCAGTACAAGCAGCCACCCTGGGCAGGACGCCCTGAGACCCGCAGGTGGGTCCAGACACCAGCCCTCAGCTTGCCTTCAGCAGCTCTGTACTGGGCTCATCATCACTCAAGCTGGGCCCCTGGGCAGTGGGAGGCTCAGGCTGCCACGGTCTCCGCTGTGTTGGACAGCCTCTGCTCCTCTCTCGTGCTTATTTGTGTTGGGGTCTGGGGGAGGGAGGGGTAGCTCCCCATCATGGGGATTGTGGGTAAGGGGATACCTAGTGTCTAATTTGCCATGGGTCACCTGCTAGAATGGATGGTGGCAAGGTGTTCAGGAGGCCCCCTGACCCCCATGAGGAGGCTCTAATGATCCTGAAGGGACAGAAGGCTCATCTGGCAGTGGTGCCTGGCACTCAGGTGAGGAGTGGGTTGGGTACCTCAGGAGGCCAGAGGCCTCAGAAGCCAGCTGCCCCCTCAGTATGGCCCTATGCCTCCCCTCCACGGCTTGCTTACTGCCCCCTGAGCGTTCCGTTTGTGGTGGGACAGGTGTCCAGAGAAGCTGTGGCCCTGGTGAAGCCGGTGACCAGTGCTCCAAGGCCATGCATGGGGCCCGCTCCAGGTGAGGGCCAGGAGGATGGGACATGAGTGAGTGAGTGAGCCTGTGAACACGGGAGCGTCTGGGAGGCAGGGGCTGTGTGTCTCTGAGTAGAAGTGTGCACACAGTGTGGGCACTGGGGTCATTCTAGCATCACCCCTTCAGTCCCTCGGCTTCATTGAATCCTCCCGAAGCTCATCAACACTGTTTCTATCTGTGAACACAAGCAACAGAAGCACAAAGACGTTCGGTCGCTTCGCAGGGTCACACAGCTTGAAAGCGTCAGACCAGTGATTTAAACCCTTGAACAGGAAAGGGAATCCCTAATCAGGCAGCAGCCGTGAAATATGAGCCAGCTCACATCATGTCTCTGACCAAAGCTCCTGTGATGGACACCAGACTCTTCTCTGTGACCTTGACCATCCTGATCTCCCCAGTCCTGTGACCTTCCTCCTCCCCTCTTTCCCCTATTTCAATTCAATTCCTGTACCTGGCACACCAAGCCTGCTCCTGCCTCAAGACCTTTGCACTTGCTGTCTCCTCCAAGAGGAATGCTCCCCTCACAGTCTTTGGGTGTCTGGCACCATCTTGCCCATCAGTGAGATGTCAGGTCAAATGTTACTTTGGAGAGGTTTGCCCAGCCCACCTGAATCACCCTGCTCTGCTTCTCTGAGACTTCCTATCACCCTGAGCACCATAACCCCCTCCCTGGTCCTGCCTTTCCTGCTGGGTCCTAAGAAGCCCCTCTCTGCCCCTGCCTCTGACCTCCACAGTGCAGCCTTCAAGGTCCCTGGAGCCTCCAGAGGAGCCTGTGCAGACACAGCTGCACCGCCTAGCCAACCCCAACTTCTATGGCTACCAGGACGCCCCGTGGCGGATCTTCCTGCGCAAAGAGGTGCCGAGGCAGACCAGAGGATGGGCTAAACATAGGCAGAGCTAAATATGTGTAGAGCTATCCAGGGAGCCAGGACAGGGGAACCATGAAGAACTGGAGTGGGGCTGGAGCTAGGGTAAAAGTCAGCCAGGAGCTGCATCTGGGTGTGGGCTCCAACCAAAAGGAGGGGCAGCCCAGGGTTAACTGAGACCTGCCCACACAGGTGTTTTACCCTAAGGACAGCTACAATCACCCCGTGCAGCTAGACCTCCTGTTCCGGCAGGTGAGGCCTTCTCTCCTCCCACTGCAGGGTCTGTGGGTGGAGCGTTGCTCTACCGATTACCCCTCTTCCATAAACAAGGTTAGCAGGGCCACACGTCCATTCTAATAAAGAGTCACAATCCAATCTAAGCAGATGTGCACACCTGTAACCCTGGCGCCCGGAAGGTGGAGGGAGGAGAATCAGGAATTTTGATACAAAGCCCTGTAGCAACAAAACAAAACAAAAACAGTCTCTCTGAGTTCAGATCCCAGCCTCACTGGATACATGTGGAAACTAAGGCCTGGGAAAGGCAGAAAGGATTAGGATGGTGGCCATGTGAAGGACTGGATAACAAAAGGAACCCAGTTCACAGATGACCCGGTGCTGCAGGAATCCTTCCCACCCATGTACCTAGACCATAGAGCTCAGCTTCTGGCAGGGGCGCCCTGAGCCAGCTGGCCTGGACACGCTTGTTTCTGCAGATCCTGCATGACACGATGTCCGAGGCCTGCCTCCGCATATCCGAGGATGAGCGGCTCCAGATGAAGGCCCTGTTTGGTACCTTGGGAAAGGGGATGCTGATGGGCAACCAACCAGATTGGCCGGAAGGAGGCCAGGGATATACCTCATCCTCTTCCCTCTCACACATGCCCATCCTTACTCAGCCTCGCCAGGCTGCCTGTTTGGGGGTCAGCAACCATGCAGTATGGCCCTTTCCCCAATCTGCGACTTCTCGTTCCCGGCACAGACATTGGTCAGACCCCTTACTGTTGGTACCAGGCTCTCAGCCCTCAACTCCCTGAGGTGTGAGCTGGCAAGGAGGGAAAGAGGGTCCTCATCAGAATTGTTCTCCCTTAGCCCAGAATCAGCTGGACACTCAGCGACCTCTGGTAACAGAAAGTGTGAAACGGGCTGCAATCAGCATGGCCCGAGACAGCTGGGAGATCTACTTCTCCCGCCTCTTCCCAGCGATGGTACGAGCCCCTGCTCACCCCTTTCTGCCTGCCTGCCTGCCCGGAGCAGCCAGGGATAACGACGGAAGGCCTCACCAGACTCACCCTTCCTAGGGCAGTGTGGGCACTGGTGTGCAGATCCTAGCTGTATCCCACACGGGCATCAAGCTCCTGAGGATGGTCCAAGGCAGCAGGGAGGCCAGCAGACAGCTTCGGGTCCTGTGCGCATACAGGTGATTGGCAGACAGGTGGGGGAGTACGCTGTCTGGACATAGGCACAGGCTGGCATCCACATCTCACTGTGCTTCTCAGAGCTTTATTAGCACCTATGATGTTCTGGCTGTGCCACGCCTTTTACTCAAGCCCATGTTAGAGATCTGGAAAGTGAAGCACAGAGAGAAATTGGTGGTCTCCAGCCACATAGGCAGGAAGTGGTGGAGCTGGAGACCTTGGCTCCAGGGTTTGCTGTACAGAGAGGCGAGTGCTGAGATCAACCAAGTCCTGGGGGAGGAGATGGCTCCAGCCCTGAGACCCTGACGAGTGCCCAGACTCCTTACTGGAGTCCCTTTGACCCTTTCTTCTTTCTTTCAAAGATTTGTTTATGTATACAATGGTCTGTCTGCATGTACACCTGCAGGCCAGAAAAGGGCACCAGATCTCATTATAGATGGGTTGTGAGCCACCATGTGGTTGCTGAGAATTGAACTCAGGACCTCTGAAAGAACAGCCAGTGCTCTTAAGCTCTGGGCCATCTCTTCAGCCCCCTTTGTCCCTTTTGGGAGAATGCTGATCACTGGTTGGGTGAAAGCTCCTTGCTCTGAAGGATAAAATGGAGAAAACTGGGCCAATGGGTGAATCGAGGATATTATGTGGGCAAAGTCTGGTTTTGTGGCTGGACTGAGAGACTGGAATACGGTACAAGGGGTTTTAAGAAACACACAGAACCCACAGATGGGTCAGAGAGGGGAAACAGGAACAGAAAACAGCTGAGGGCAGGCACCTCTTTGGCCACAAGGACCTGCCCCTATACCACTCCTCCCCCCCCCCCCCCCCCCCCCCCCCCCCCCCAGTTTTGCAGACATCCTATTTGTGACCATGCCGTCACAGAACATGCTAGAGTTCAACCTGGCCAATGAGAAGCTCATCCTCTTCTCAGCCCGAGCTCAGCAGGTCAAGACCCTTGTAGACAACTTCATTCTGGAGCTGAAGAAGGTGAGGGTTCCTCCACCCGTGTTGCCTGCCGCTGCCAGACAGATGTATCACAGCCCCTCTGCCCAGAGAGTGTGAATGCACTGTATGCGTGCACAGCACACACCACATCCACAGACTAACCCTGCCCTTTGGCAGGACGTGTCCCAGGTCCATCACCCAGCCCAGGGGGATCCAGAAGGTTTAGGGAGGGACCCGTGGCTAAGGCACAAGTGTGTGGTCAGCAACCTCAGGCTTCCATCCTGTGGAACGCTTGACCCCCTGCCCATCTAGGGAGCACCCCATCACTTCCCCTCGCCCACGGAGGCTCTGTGCCTTCTCTGATGTGTTGGGGGCATGAAAGCAGAGGAGGGGCTGGAAGCCCCTGGAATGAAGGTCGCACACGGCACTCTATTCCTGGTGTTTTCCAGGATTCTGACTACGTGGTGGCGGTGAGGAACTTCCTGTCTGAAGACCCAGAGCTGCTGTCCTTCCACAAGGGTGACATCATCCACCTGCAGCCCCTGGAGCCACCTAGAGTGGGTCAGCTCCGTGGCGGGGTGGAAGTACGCAAAAGAAGGGAGGCCGAGAAAAGGGCTTCCCTGGTACATGCTGACGCGAGCTCCTTCCGCAGGCTGCAGCGCTGGTTGTGTAGTCCGCAAGAAACTGGTGTACCTGGAGGAGCTGCGGCGGAGAGGCCCTGATTTTGGTGAGTACTCGGGGCTACCCCAAACCTGGAGGACCAGACGGGGTTGCTAGTCCAGGTTCCAGAACCCACTGCAGGCATAGCAGTCTATTGGTGGCCCCTTGGTCTCCTGCAGAGACCTGACAGGGCCAGCCACCAGCTCGCACTATCTCTGATTGCATTTCGGGCCAGACAGTCTGTATCTCTTGTTGCTTTTGGCATTCATCCCCAGCACCACAAAAGAAAAGGAAAAAAGCCAAAAAAGTTCGAGGAATGGCTCAAGGGGGCACCCAAACCTCCCCAAAGGCTTGTCTGTCCCAAGCCTTTGGGTTTTCCTCCACTTGTCCCTAGGCTGGCGGTTCGGGGCCGTCCACGGGCGCGTGGGCCGCTTTCCTTCAGAGCTGGTGCAGCCCGCCGCTGCGCCAGACTTCCTGCAGCTCCCGGCCGAGCCGGGTCGGGGCCGGGCTGCCGCGGTGGCCGCCGCCGTGGCCTCTGCAGCAGCCGCACGGGAGGTGGGGCGCCGGAGAGAGGTGAGGGGCCGGGAGGACACTCCGTGGGCGGGGCTAGCCGTGGGATTCAGCCAATCCCATGCAAGGGACTGGCCTGGAGGGCGGGGCCTGTCTTGGGAGCAGAGTCCGGGTAAGTGAGAAAGGTTCGAAGGGTCTGGATGCTTGGACGGGAGGTCAGCTTTCACAGGAGGGGCGGGGTGGGCGTGGCGATGGGCCTTGGCAACAGCACCTATCCCGCAGGGTCCCCCAGTCAGGGCGCGATCCGCAGACAGCGGAGAGGACACCGTGGCGCTCCCACCGAGCACAATGCTCGAATTTGCCCAGAAGTATTTCCGCGACCCTCGGAGGCGTCCCCGGTGGGTAGTGATCCGGGCTCCTCTTCCCCTTTTCTGTGTTATCTTGAAGTCTTGGCGGCTGATGGCTGTCGGCGGCCAGCCCCACTCTGAAGTCTCAGCCTCTGGGTGCCTTCCTATGGCTAGACTGACTGGAAGGGGCAGAGATGTGGCCAAAGGTTGGGGGCCACGACTGGGTAGCGGCGCCCGTTTGTTGCAGGGATGGCCTCAAGCTGAAGTCTAAGGAGGACCGGGAGTCCAAAACTCTGGAGGACATGCTTTGCTTCACTAAGGTGCATGTCCTATGCCTCAGTTTCCTCGTCTGTAAAGTGGTGATGCAAAAACCTTCTATCCCCTAGAGCAGATACTTGTCCCCATTGAAAACCTCTGGCTCTCAGAGTCTGGAGCACTGTGTCCCTATTTTGTGATGTGGACCCTCCTGTTATAATACAGCCTGAGAGTATGCGGCAGTCCCTCGTCTATTCCGTCCCAACTCCGTCGTGACACAATCCCTCGGTCTCCTCACAGGCCCCGATCCAGGAATCCCTCATTGAACTCAGTGACAGCAATCTCAACAAGATGGCGGTTGACATGTTCCTAGGTGTGTGGGATGGGGTACTGTGTAACCTGTGTTCGTTACCTCTCTTCCCCAAGCCTGAGACACTTTGAAGACCTCTAGCTGTCTCAGCTGCAGCCTCCCAGAGAGGGAATGGACCTTGGGACGGGCATGGTGGGCCTGAGCAGGATGGGTCTTTCCTACAGCTGTGATGAGGTTCATGGGAGATGCCCCACTGAAGGGCCAGAGTGAACTGGATGTCCTCTGCACCCTCCTGAAGGTCAGTCCTGAAGTGTGTGCCCCATGCTTCCTGTTTGCTCCTGGTCTTGGTTTCCCCGCCTGTCAGTCAGAGCACAGTGGGACACTTCTTAGGTTGTCCAGAGAGGAATGAACGCACGAATGCATCTTGCAAGTGCACGGAGGGCTGAACGCTTTCGTACCTGCCTCAGCGAGTGACCTCACCTGCCTTTTTTTTTTTTTTTTTTCAGTTTTGTGGGGACCACGAGGTTATGCGAGACGAATGCTACTGCCAGATTGTGAAACAGATCACAGACAATACCAGCTCCAAGCAGTGAGTCACCTAGGACCCTAGCCCGCTGTGCCCACACTGCGCCACCTCAGAATTTCTCCTTCCTCAGCCTTGCCCCACTCCCCTTCTTCCCTGCTTTATGCTTTGGGACTTGCTTGGCCTGGAACATACCATTTGCAACCCTTTTTCATTGCCAGAAATGTTCACTTTTCAATCCCTAGGAGTGTGGGATGCAGTACTGGCTCTTGGCTGCATGCAGCAGAAATCCACATCGGGGTGGATTTCTATTGGTTCAAGCAGCTGGAACTCAGTCAGGCTGTGCTTTCAGACACAGCTGGGTCCATTAGAAAGCAAGATTTCAGGGATGAGGTGATGGCTGAGAGGTGGAGAGTGCTGGCTGCTATCCCAGAGGAACTGAGTTCAGTTCCCAGCACCCATGCCAAGCAGCTCACAACTGCCTGTGACTCCAGCTCCAGGGGATCAACTCTATCTTCTGGCCTCTACAGGCACATGCACACACACACACACTAATCATCAAATCTTTAGAAAGATGACACTCTTCCTGTACCCTCTGGTCCTCCTTCCTTTCTTCCAGGTTGATAGTATTCCCATATGGTCTCTCTCAGAGTTAGCAAGGTGACAGCTTTGGGAAACATTTCTTCCGCTCAGGAATCACAAGGAGAGCAATACTGACTCAATCTGCTACAGAAACGCTCAGATCCAAGGTGTGCAGCGGGTCTCCGCCCACTGCAGCCACCGTAAGGCCCCTCTTTTCCTGTTCAGCTGGCGTCCTGGCCAGAAGAACACATTTGTTTATGTCAGTCACTGAAGCAAGGAGAGGGAAGATCAGACGGTCCCACACAGCTCCTGGAATCACTCTGTCCGGGGACTTTTTGTAATCTTCCACTTCAGCTGCTTTTTACTACTATTTGGTAAAGCAAAGAAATGAGTATTCAGACTTCATTTTGGGCTTTCAGGAAAGTTCTACCCTTGAAGTCCAACTTGGGGAAAAAAGAACACATTTAGTGGCAGGGTACTGGGAGGTGAGTGCGCAGAGGTGATTTCATTTCCCGATGGCCAGAAGTGAAGTCTGTGGAGAGGTGCTTTGGTGCTGGGGACCCAAACTTGGGTTCTCACTTTACCTGCCTTGTCATCTTCCCAGCCTGAAAAATGGTTCTTATTTGGCAAGCAAGATGGCTCAGTGGGTGAAGGGCTTATTTTGCCAGCCTGACAACCTGAGTTTGATCACAGAACTCATGTAATGGAGGGAGGAGAAAACCGACCCGTAAATACGTCCTGTGACCTCCACAGACTCAGCATGGCATGCTCCAACCCACACATGCAAATACTGCACACATCATTCTTAAAAAGAAAGAAATGGTTCTTCTACATGGTTACCCAACACTAACTGAATTTCTTCTAATCCTGGCTCCTACTTGTATCCTGTGAATGATAGTTGCTTCAGTCATGGACATGAGGTGTAAAACAAAGGATGGGGTGCTCACTTCTGCAACACGTATGTGTATATACACTAAATTATTGCATATATAGCATATGTATTCTAAAATTTAGTGTATATATATATATATATGTATAGTATAGGTATTAAAATTGGAATGATTTGGAGATTAGCATAGCCCCTGCACAAGGATGACAGGCAAATCTGTGAAACATTCCATATTAAAAAAAAACAGAGTGGGGAAATGTACCCACCCATGAATGAGGACCATAAGGCCCCTCCCTTTAACTATCAGACTATTGAAACAATGAGGAATCTCTTGCTGGCTAAAGAGCAGGCTAAAGCTTAATGCCAGGAGAGGAAAGTGCCTCTCAGAAGAGACATCACAGTCCTAACAACTTGTCGGTCTAACTCGTCGGTCTGCCTTGCACAACAGACTGGGCCTGAGACACTCGTGACAGCTGGGACCTCATCCGATCCAGACTGCATCTCTGGCCTCCAGTGAAACCTAAACCTCGCGTCAGGACTCCTTCAGTCCTCGTCTCAGTGCAACCACATTGAATAAATGTGTTTATCTGCTTTTCAAAAGCAAAAGAACTCCCCAAAATCTAGCTAGATTGGCCTCCGTTGGTCCCATGCTCATTCTTGAGCCTAGCACAGTGGCTCAGGATGCAGGTGCTGGCTGGTTTGAGTCTGAACTCCAGTTGACCAGCCCTGGATCCTGTGTCCACCCTCAGATACCTGTGACGTGACCCCTGTGTGCTTACAGGGACAGCTGTCAGCGAGGCTGGAGGCTGTTGTATATCATGGCTGCCTACTACAGTTGCTCCGAGGTCTTCTACCCATACCTCAGTCGCTTCCTCCAACATGTGAGCTGGACCCCAGGTCTGCCCTTCCAAGGTGAGGAGCTGTGAGTGGGGACTCTCATACACAGGGACAGGGCATGCAGCCATGGGCTGGGAAAACCAGAGAGCCTGGCCCCCGGAATGGGCTGAGGCAGTAACTGATGTAAATGACTCTACAAACAGCCGTGGAGATCCCAAGGGGGTTGGTGCAGCGGCTCCTCTGCTCTCGTGTGGATATAGCCAAGGGAAGCCTTCTGGGAGCAGGAATTGCCCTGGGTATTGATCGCACAGAAAGAATTTCCAGGTAGAGTCAAGGCCCAGAAACAGTCCATGCCATAGAGAGAAATGAAGCAGGTAGGCAAGAACCCAGGACACCAAGGTAGGGTGCTACTTGTACCCATGCCGGGTCTTCAGTGGCCCGCAGCTGGTAGCAGCGTCTCAGCTTTACCTTTGCAGCATGGAGGAAGGGGCTGCTTCCAGCCTTGTTTCCATAGCAACTCTAAGAAAGAGACATGTCATGGTGATGCACACCTGTAATCCCAGCACTAGGGACACTGGGGCAGAAAAATTAGGAGTTCCAGGCCAGCTTGCAATACTGTCCTTCCTTCCTTCCTTCCTTCCTTCCTTCCTTCCTTCCTTCCTTCCTTCCTTCCCTTTCCATGTAAAAACTACTCATTATTCTACCCGTTCTCAGGTGAGATTTATACAGTATTCTGCCTGTATGTGTGCCTGTGCACCAGAAGAGGGCACCAGATCTCACTATAGCTGGTTATGAGCCACCATGTGATTCCTGGGAATTGAACTCAAGACCTTTGGAAGAACAACCAGTGCTCTTAACCTCTGAGCCATATCTCCACCCCTTTCTTTGCTTTGCTCTTTCTTTCTTTCTTTCTTTCTTTCTTTCTTTCTTTCTTTCTTTCTTTCTTTCTCTCTCTCTCTCTCTCTCTCTCTCTCTCTTTCTTTCTTTCTTATTTTTTTTCTTTATTGGTTTTTTGAGACAGGGTTTCTCTGTGTATAGCCCTGGCTGCCCTGGACTCACTTTGTGGACCAGACTGGCCTCAAACTCACAGAGATTCGCCTGCCTTTGCCCCCGGAGTGCTGGAATTAAAGGGGTACACCACCAACAACCAGCTTCCAGCTACCTTTCTTTTTTTTTTTTTTTTTTTTTTTTTCTTTTCTTCAGCTACCTTTTTATACTTGCCCAGGTACTCGACCAGATGCAGTGGGCTGGGCCTTCCCATGACAATCATTAATCAAGAAAGCACCCCACAAACATGTCCATAGGTCAATCTCACTTCCTCAGCTGAGGTTTCCTGCTTTTGGTGTTTCTAGTTTGTGTCAAGTCAACAAAAAAATAATGAGTATATCTCCAAAAGATAACAGGACCGGGACCCTCTAATCGATTATAGTGCTGACAGCCGTAGAAAACATAGGGGAGCCCCTCCCCTTGAATCTGCCTCTGATTATTAACGGACAGGGATAACTAGGGAAGGGCTCCCAGCTGAGAGATGACTGCAGAATGTGTCATGGAATTCCTGACTCCGCCCCTGGAGAGAGAGTGTGTTCCCTTAGCTTAGATGCACAGAGCACTACTGGCAGGAGTCTCTGCCCTCGGATGCTCAGTGAGGCAGGGAACTTGGCATGCAATCCCGGTTGACAGGGACAGGAAACCATTGTGCCATCCATTGAGCCAGTTGAGAGTGGGCAACCTAGTCACCAGCTAAGGAGCATAGATATCTCTCAGTCCATACAAAGCCAAGGGCAAGACAATATTACAACCCCATGAGATGTAGGTTTGGCTCCTGCTGTTACACTCCACTTCCTAATCTTGGTGAATCACTGGCCCTTGCTGGGTTTACTTTCCTCAACTAGCAAAAAGGGAATAAGACCTACTCCTTGTTGAAAAGATGTAGGGGCCTCATGGCTGGGGTAAGAGGAACCTTTTCCTTTCACGGCCAGCTTTAAGCAAGGCCTCAGCTCTGTGCCTCTGCAGGGATTGCCAAGGCCTGTGAACAGAACCTGCAGAAGACCTTGCGTTTTGGAGGCCGTCTGGAGTTCCCCAGCAATATGGAGCTTCGCGCTATGTTGGTGAGCCTACAGCAGGGCCAGGGAGACACAAGCTCTTCCCAGAAGCCCTTGCTAGATACATGTCCGCGGCTTGGTGTATGGGGATGTCTCCTGTCAATTGCTGTGCATGAAAGTTCCTGCACAGATTTGCCTCTGGACATGGGGACGCCCGTGAAGGCGAGAGGGTCCAGGCTTTCATCTTTCTCCTGCTTACCCACCCCAGGCAGGCCGCAGTTCCAAGAGACAGCTCTTTCTTCTTCCAGGAGGCCTTGAACGCCACCTGAAAATCAAAACGTGCACTGTAAGTAAGGAGAGTCTCAACAAGCTGGTGATAGAAGGGGAGGGATACCAGGCTCTGGGATGGGAGGAGTGAGTATCTGTGAGGCGAAGCTTCTCACACAGCCCTATGCGACAGGGCTGTGCCCCCAATACCTCCGCTAAACTGTGAGTTCAGCATCTGCAGATTCAAGCAACTGCAGACAGAAAATATCTAGGAAAGTCACACCGGAACAGTACAGAGTCCTTTCTTGCCATCCTCTGAATGATACTGTGTGATGTCACCCACACAGCATGCTACTATATTTGTTATTGTTAGCCAGAGATGACTGAAAGTCTAGGAAGGATGTGTGTGGGTCCCATGCAAAAAAAAAAAAAAAGATTCAATTTTAAGTAATGGACTTGGGCATCTTGGGAGTTTGATATCTGCAAGGCATCTTGCCATAGGCCCCTTACAGATGCTGAGTGGGTACCAACAAACTGAGACTCCAGGAGCCTATATCACACAGCTGATAGCCACACAGAGAATATGAAAAGAAAGATCGGGAGACAGTTCCAAAAGCTATACTCTGCCAGGCTGAGCCATGGAGTCCTGTGCCCCTTTGTTAGTGGCTAAGGCCCAGCTTTACCTCTCTGGCCCCCAGGTGGCCCGGGATGTGATAGAGGGGCTCTGTACCGAGATGGCCCTGACACGTCCTGAAGCCTTCGACGAGTATGTCATTTTTGTTGTCACCAACCGAGGTGAGTACAGGGGACGACTGGGCATTCTAGACTCTTTCATGACACAGCATCACATTTGGCCGTGGGAGCCTGTCTACTCTGCCCTGATGGCCAGGCCAAAGGTCACTTCCTCTGAAGTTCTTACCCTCCATGAGAGCAGACGTTTATTGAGCACAGATGGTAGGCACGATTCTCCCCAAGCCTTTCGTTTCTCCCACTTCGTTATGTTCTGAACAAGCCTGCCTCCCTTTCCAGACTGTGGTTCATGGGGGACGGAACCTCTGAATGCTGCTCTGGTCTCTCGGGCCCTGAGGGGTCTCCTCAGTCAAAGAAGCTACTCTCTAGAGTCTTACAGTTTGGGAAAGTTTCATCCATAAAAACCAGACTCCTGAAATCCCACACAGGACCATTTGCTCCAGCCCTTAAGCCTTCCTCAGGTCTTCTCCCGACGGCCCCTAGGTACACAGGGAACCTCTCGTACAACCCAGAACCTCCGCAATGTGCAGCAGGCCCATTCTAGGCTAGTCTTGCCGTCCACCAACTGATAGTCACAGCCATCTCCAGCCATCCCCTCAAAAGTGCCTCAGCTCTCGAGGCAGGTAGCAGACGTTTATTGCGCACAGATGGTAGGCATGATTCAAAGCATTTAATGGCATAAACTCCTGTGCTCTGTTTGTTCCTGTCTGGGGATATTCTGAGAATCAAACTCAGGGTCCTATGCATCCTAGCCAAGCCGTCTATGACTGATGCCATAAAGTCGTTTAACCTCCACAACAACTCTGTGGGGCAGACTGTTTTCTTTGCTGTTTACAGTTGGGGGAGCCAGAGCCCAGAGAAGCTGTAGTAGTTTCCCATGACTGCTATAACATACGACCAGAGTCCCGGTGACTCATAACACAGACAGGTTATCTTACAGTTCTGAGGGTCAGAGATACTAAAAATAGGAACATGGCCGGGACTTCTTTCTTCTTGAAGCTTTAGGGAACATTCCATTTCCACTCTTTCTCAGCTTCTCCAAGCTACCCTGTCTCTGCAGCCAAGAGTGTAGTCTTCAGATGTCTTTCTCTTGCCCCAGCCTCAACTCTGTTTCCACATCTCTGACTTGAGCCTCTTGACTCTCTTATCAGGATTTTTAGTGCTTCCATTTGACCCTTAATCACATCTGCAAAGACCCTTTTGCCATAAGGTGACATAGTCACAAGTTCTAGGCATTAGGATATTGCTATCTCTAGGGAGACTTTCTCAGACACTGCAGTGACCTGCTCAAGGCTGCACAATGGAGGTCAGAATACAGGCAAGGTTTCTGGACTCTTATCATCATGCCAAGCAGCTCTCCGGAGTACAGTTTGACTGAAGAAACGGGACAGTGTCTTTAGGGTTTTATTGCTTTGAAGAGACACCATGACCAAGGCAACTCTTAGAAAAGAAAACATTTAATTAGGGCTGGCTTACAGTTTCAGAAGTTTAGTCCATTGTCATCATGGTGGGAAGCATGGCAGCGTCCAGGCAGACATGGTGCAGGAGGAGCTGAGAATTCTACATCTTGATCTGCAGGCAACAGAAGGGGACTGTGTTCCAAACTGGGCAGGACACACTTCCTCCAACAAGGCCACACCTCCTAATAGACCAAGCATTCAAACAGATGACTCTCTGGGAAGCATGCCTACTCAAACCACCACAGACAGAAAGCAGAGCATCAGTGCAAGGCAGAAGCCTGTGTACCTCTGTCCCAGCGTAGCGCTCAGGCCTTTGACCCTACCCACCACAAATGTCCAGCAAGGGAGCTAGGATTTCTCAGTGCAGAGCCCAAGGCCTTTTCCAGACCCTGGGAGGCACTCTAGAGCACTCAAAGCTCTGTCCTTGGGAGGAATGGAATGCCACTTGTTTCTGTGAGTTGCAGCTCTGTGAGCTTGTTCCCCTTTTTAAGGAAGGTGCACCCTTAAGGGGGCACGTCTCCCAGCCGGCAGGTCAGTGCTGAAGGTCACTTCCACCATAGCTTCTTTCTCCCAGCCACGCTTCTTTCTCCCTGTAGGCCAGCACGTGTGTCCACTGAGCTGCAGGGCCTACATCCTGGATGTGGCCTCTGAAATGGAGCAGGTGGATGGCGGCTACACGCTCTGGTTCCGGCGGGTGCTGTGGGATCAGCCGCTGAAGTTTGAGAATGAGCTGTACGTGACCATGCACTACAATCAGGTCAGAGATGCGACTCTGTTACTCTTATAAAATGACGGGGGCTTTGCCAGGAAACATACAAAGCTTTAGCAATTCCACTTACAAAACAGGACCACACTGTTGGGTGTGGTGGCATACACCACATCCTAGTGCTCGGGAGACAGAGACAGGCAGATCTCCCTGAGTTAGAGGGCAGGCTGGTCTCCACAGGAAGCTCCAGGCCAGCGAGGGATACATAGGCCTTTCCTGGGGACCACGGTGTTGAGACACCTCTGCACACTGTGCTACTCAAGCACCAGAGAAAGCTTGATACAAACTTGTTCTGCAGACCTACAGGGTCAGAGACTCTAGAAGCAGCTCTGAAGTCTGCTTTTACACATGCTCTCTGCCTTCGGGCTCCATTTTGAGAAGCGTGTATCTGATGTACACATGTGTTCACAATACTGTTTATTTTTTGTTTTACCCAGCTTGCTCTTCCCATGTCACTATGGAAACCCTCACAGTCTTCATCCCTCAGAGTCCTGCTCCTATAGACACCTATCCTCATTCCCCACAAACCAGAAAGTGATGAGCCATAAACTCCTACAAGTGTGGAGGACTGGAGTGAATGCAGCCACCCGACTCAGGGCCCCTGACATTGAACGCCCGAGTGCGCCCCAGTCCGGCAGCCCCTCATGCAACTGCCTCCCGCAGGTTCTGCCCGACTACCTGAAGGGCCTCTTCAGCAGTGTGCCGGCCAGCCAGCCCAGTGAGCAACAACTGCAGCAGGTGTCCAAGCTGGCTTCACTGCAGCACCGCGCCAAGGACCACTTCTACCTGCCCAGTGTGTGAGCACCTGTCCACTTGTCTCAGCTGGGGTGGAGGGCAGGCCACCCATCTGTCTGTCCCCCATGCTCTCTTCTTTCACATCTGCCAGCCCCTGAAGCGGGGACCGACAGGTGGGTGGGTGCTCAGCAGCCCTCTACCCTCCACGCACAGGCGTGAAGTGCAGGAGTACATCCCAGCCCAGCTCTACCACACCACAGCCAGTGACACCTGGCTCAACCTGGTTAGCCAACACCGGCAGCAGACTCAGGCGCTCAGCCCCCACCAGGCCCGTGCTCAGTTCCTGGGTGAGAGCCAGGAGGAGGGCTGGAGACATAGGGGTGGGGAGCTGAGTCGAGGGTGGCCAGAGGGAGGTTGGGGATGCTATTTTCTTTGCACAAAAGCAGTTTTTGGTGGCAGCCGGGCTGCCTGCCTGCCTATCTGGAAAAGGCCTGTTACCACTTTCCTAAAAGTATCACCTGGGTTGGAAATGAGGTTGGACAGACAGCTGAGAGTGAAGGAACAAGAAGGTGGGGTACAGGAAGAGGTCAGGAGGGGAGGAGGGGAGGTGGGGGCCAACCAGAGCAGAGACCAGCATTTGCGGGCAGCCTCTGCCAGCTCAGGGCAGTGGCTGTCCGGTCGTCCTGGTGCAGGTGTCCTGATAACAGGCTCTCCACACTGCAGGCCTCCTCAGCGCCTTCCCCTTGTTCGGCTCCTCCTTCTTCTTCATCCAGAGCTGCAGCAACATCACAGTACCAGCTCCTTGTATCCTCGCTGTCAACCATAATGGCCTTAACTTCCTCAGCACCAAGACCCATGTGAGTGGCCTCTGCCAGGCCCTGCCCACCTACCTCCTGAACTTCTGTCCTTTGGCACCTTCACCTACTCTTGGGGACATTTACCTCCTGCGTGATCTGCAGCCAATCCCTTCTCCTTCAGAGCCTTCTTTTGGAAAGTGGATATAATAGAATTCTGGCCCCCAGAAGGGTATGTGAAGGAGACATGTAGGAAAACACACAGAGAGCATGTGGGTAGTGTATCAGGCTGCCAGGGCTTCATACTACATGCTGGGAGCCCTATGCAATACAAGGTCATTTTCTCATGTTTCTGGAGACTGAAATTCCAAGCTTTCTGCAGCTTGAGCGCTTTGGTTTTTCCTTAGCTTGTAGACAGTAATTTCTGTGTCCTCGCATGGCCTCTCTATATGGTCACATCCCTGGTGTCCATGTGTCCAACTTTTCTCTTCTTATAAGGACACTAGTCATGCTGGAATTGAGCCTAACCTAGTGGCCTCATTAAAACTGGTTAACCTTTTTTGGTGGGGCTCTATAAATCTGTGGCCCAGGCTGGCCCTCAGTGATTCTTCTGACTCAGTTTTCCAACACTGGGATTATAGATCTGCACCCCCGTGCCTACCTTTTTATCTCTTTATCTGTGATACTGAGGATAGGATCCAGGGCCCCCCATGCCAGGCAAGCACTGTCCCTAACCCCTTGTAGCCCCCTTTTTAAAGTTCCTACTTCCAAATATAGTCAGGTTCCTGGTGCGGGGGCTAGGGCTTTCTATAGCCACTAAGGAGCTGGACTCGCCACCCTTTTCTTAGTTCCTGCTCTTAAAAACAACCTGGTGCCTTCAGTCCCAGCACTCAGGAGGCAGAAGCAGGCAGATATATGGGTCAGCCTGGTCTACAAAACAAGTTCCAGGACAATAGCCAGGGCTACAGAGAGAAGCCCTGTCTTAAAAAAAAAAAAAAAAAAAAGACACGGAGAGAGAAAAAAAGACACAAACACACACACACACACACACACACACACAGAGAGAAAGAGAGAGAAGCCTGGGAACAGGAGATTTGCTTAGAGGTGAGTCTAGGAGACACTGGAAGAAGTAAATGGGGGAGAGAAGGGGCAGGTGTGCCGTGGCTGAGACCCTGGGAGACAGCACAGAACATGCCTGCTAAGGTGTGTTCTTCCTCCTGGAGTAAGGAGCTGCCATGACTCCTCACTCTACATGCCCATTAGGCAGGCATTGAGGGCTGTACTAACTGTCCATCACTCCACCTTTCTCTGCAGCGGGCCCAGAATAAAGCTCTTTGATAAAGGGATGTGGGTGTTCCCGGAAATAGCATAAAAGTCAGAATACCCAGGGCACCGACTGCCCTTTCCATCTCAAGCATGAGGCATCAGTATGTGTTGGCCCAGTTTCCACTGGTGAGGAAACTGAGATCCAGAGTGGTCAGGGAAGTTGCCTCAAGTCACAGAGCCCATGACCGTCTGAGGAACTGGCATAGAGCCGGCCCTTCTGCCTTTTGACCCAACTTGCAGGGGAAGGTTTGGCTTAGAGACCATCCTCACCCTCACACCTGCCTGGCTCCTCTGTCCTCATCCTCAGGAGCTAATTGTGAAGATTCCCCTGAAGGAGATCCAGTCCACGTGGACTCAGCAGCCCACAGCCAATTCCAGCTACCCGTACGTGGAGATCTCGCTGGGCGACGTGGCAGCGCGGCGTACCATGCAGCTCCAGCTGGAGCAGGTAAGGCCAATCCTGTCAGGCAGGCCCTGCCATCCGGTTCCGGCTTTCTCATTCTACACGCAGGGCTCTTCTCCAGCCTGGGCTGTGCCCCAGGAAGCAAACAGCCCAGTACAAGGAACAGAGCTGTGAGAACAGAGCTGTGAGTTATCATGGAGGTCTTCCCAGGAAGCAATTTAGCAGTGCACTGTGGGAAGGATACCGGTTGTTTGCAGAACAGTGAGGCATTTAGCAGGGTACTCAGAAGATTCACCAGGGCAAGGGAAGTCTCAGCACTCTTTGAATGTTAAAATAAAACTCCCGGAGCCAGGTGGTGGTGCATACCTTTAATTCCAGCCCTTGGGAGGCAGAGACAGGCAGATCTCTGTGAGTTCAAGGTCAGCCTGGTCTACAGAGCAAGTTCTAGGACAGCCAAAGCTACACAGAGAGATCCTGTCTCAAAAAACCTAAACAAACAAACAAACAAACAAATAAACTCTGGGAGGAAGGGTATAATTCAGTTGGGAGTTAGCTGCCTAACATGTATGAGGCAGTGGGTTTCATCCCTACCATGGTAGTGCACAGTACATATCTGTAATTCCAGCAACCTCAGAAGGTAGAGACAGGATCCTGAGTTCAAGGGCATCCTCAGCTACAAAAGCCAGCCTGGGCTAGAGACCCTGTCTAAAGGAGGAGGGAGAAGAGAAATAAATAGTTGGGATCTTTCTGAGGTCACTGGTGAGTGGACCGGTTTGGCACAGGTCTAAGGATGCTGACCTGGGCTAAGACATGGCAGCTGTATTGTCACATTTTCTAGACTAGATGACATCTAGACTAGGAAACTAGACTAAATCTCACGGTCCCTAGCATCAGAACAGAAAGAGAGATAGAGATGAGGCAGAGAGAGGGACAGAATTGAGGCTGGCCTCATTTTTGTCCTTTCTAGCCTGCCACCTCCCCTTGAGACTGGCCTGCCACTGTGCCCGCTCTGCTGCTGCTGGAGTAGGAGCCACAATCAAGGCCCCTAGAGAACCTGTGACCTGGGACCAGGCTCCTGGGTGGCCTTCCCCTACACCCCTTTGCCCTGCCTCCCTCTTCTAGTAACCATGATTTTGTTCCCTGCAGCCTCTCTGTCCCCAGGTCTTTCAAAGGTCTCTACAAAGGTGATGTCCTATTACTATGATGAAACACCATGACCAAAAGCAAGTTGGGGAGGAAACGAGTTATTTGGCTTATACTTCCACATCATAGTCCATCAGTGAAAGAAGTCAAGACAGGAACTCAAATGGGGCAGGAACCTAGAGGCAGAAGCTGATACCGAGGCCATGGAGGGTACTGCTCACCAGCTTGCTCCTCGTGGCTTCCTCAGCCTGTTTGCTTATAGAACCCAGGATAGCACCACCCACAATGGGCTGGGCCCTTCCCCATCAATTACTAATAAGAAAATGCCCTACCGCCAGATCTTATGGAGGCCTTTTCTCAATTGAGATTCTCTCAAATGGCACTAACTTGTGTCAAATTGACATAAAACTAGCCAGCACAAGTGCCATACTCCCCTTTCCTGCTCTAGGCTGAGCCCCTCCATGGCTCCTCTGGCTCTGTCATCCTTCCATCCCAACTGCTCTCCACCTTCCTTGCCTCTTACAGCTCTGCTCCCTACTCCAGGCCCTTTGCACAGGCTGTTCTCTCTTCCTGAAACGTTCCTTCTCCCTTGATTCCTCACAGGGCTCCCTCTTTTTATTTGGGTCTCATCATAAAAGCCCCTCTTTACAAAAGCCTCCCTGGGCTCTCCTCCCAATGACTTGCCACTCTGCCTCTGTGACCTGCGGCATACCTTGCATTTCATTCATGCATTTGTTTGCCTGTTGCCTGCTTCCCACATCAACATCAGCATCAGGAGGCCAGGGCCTTATCCATCTTATTTGTACCATGTCAACAGCATAGTGCCCAGCACCTGTAGATGTTCCATGTGTGCTTACTAGGTTGAAAAGTGTATGTATGAATGGGTGGGTGGGTGAGTGAATGGATGGGTAGATGGATGGATGGCTTGTAGTCCCCTCCTTTGAAGAAGCTCTTGCCTCTGTCCTGTATGTGTAGATGGATATAGTTTTTTATTCATTCCTGATGTTCTAAATTTAAAAGGTATGGCCTAACAAATGTTTATTATTAGGCCATAATTGTTACGGTGGTATTAGTTAACCCACTATCACAATCAAATAAAACACAGACACCTGTTAGATTTTATAATTGCCTTCAAACACCATGGGCTGGGCAGATAATTCCATCTATCTCAATAACCTTACCGTCTACTTCCCAACCCCATCCAGTGTCATCCCCCTTAACCATCCTTATCTGGGCTACCTTCCATCCATAATCTTATAAATACTTGCTTATATTTGGTGATTTTTCCATCCACACCATCCTTGGAGTCCTTCCTCCTGGCCTATGTGTCTTCTCCATGCTAACCCATCTTGGCATCCTCCTTTCTCCACTTTTTAGTCCTTCTGTCTCCCATGATTCTCCTGTTCCCAAAGCCTGGGAACCTTAGCCACGCCTACCCCATTCTGCCCTGCCCAGGTATGAAGCCTTTAATCAACCAATCAGGTATAATGTCTTAGGCAGGTTTACACAACAAGGATAGGTGTATCCAGGCAGGAACCAGTTCTTGAGGGCCAGTAATCAGCATCACTGCACAAGCATTAGGCCAACCCTGAACATACCCCTTCATTCAACACTTGGACATTGAGCATCTCTTATAGCATGCTTTAACAAATGTGACTGAGTCCCCTGCTGTACTGGCTCTCACCACAATCTCAAATCGGTAAAAATCTCTCTACATAACCATGATCCATACTGGGAAGTATGGATTGGAGATGGCTCCCAGGAGGAGGTGATTTCCAAGTGTGGTAGCTTGCAGTCTTTGACAGGCTGTGCAAAGGGATCATGAAGGATCCCTGTTTCCCTTTGAGCCTGTTTCTGTATGTGCTAAGCTGGGTATAAACAAAGCCTATGAATAGGCAAAAGACTGACTAGAAAAAGCTTCATTGAAAGGCATCCCTGAAAGGCACAGGCAGGCGGATCTCTATGAGGTTGAGGCCAGCCTTGTCTACAAAGCAAATTCCAGGACAGCCTGAACTTGTTTGTAACTTCTCTGTTACATAGAGAAGCCCTGTCTCTAAAAACCAGAGAGGGAGGAGAGGAGAAAGAGAGTCTATTTTGGGTCACCCATTCTGCAGGGTCTGGAGCTGTGCCGTGTGGTGGCTGTGCACGTGGAGACCATGCTCAGTGCCCGGGAGGAGCGGCTCGCACTGCCCCCCAGTGAGGTCACCCTGCTCTGACATGGCCTACCTTCTCCACGCTTCCTGCCAGAAGATTTGCTCCATGGCCTGAGGGGGGTTGCTGGGCCTCTCTGGACCAGTGACCAGTGACCCAAGAGCCAGAACCTTGGAGGAAACCAAGAGGAAAAAAACCTCAAGAACCCAAGAGGAGCTGGGATGGAATCACGAATGCAGCCAAGGGCTCCTTGGCAGAAGTAATTTTTGAAAGCTGGACCACAGAGCCTCCAGAAAGCAGACCCTGCCTGGACAGCTGCCCTTGACACGGAATCCCCACACCAGTAGTCTAGATTTATTGGAGCCTGCCTCTAGTTTTGGGGGCTTGATATTCAGATCTGCTCCAGCTTCACACCCCAGCATTCTAACCCTTGGTCATTTCTCTGCAAACAAGAGGTATTCCTGATAGCTGTGTCCTCCGTGGAGCTGCTCAGAGGCTGGAAAGCAAGCCTGAGGAGGAGGTAGAGACACAGTTGTACCAGATTCATCCTATGAATAGCATTTCAGGCAGACACATCTGCCCTTACCCCTCCCTAAGGACCCTTGACACCGACTCCTACAATCTTTTGGTAGCCCCAATCCCAGCTTCAGTCACAGGATAAACCACCCAAGGCACAACAGTGGGGCAGTAGAGAGAGAAGATCCATCTCAGGGGGTGGGGGCTGGAGAGGCTGAGAAAAAGCTTCCCAAAGATTGGTACATTATGGTTGATTTCTGAAGAATGAGAAAAGTTTACTAAGAATAGGTGGAAAGAGAGGGTTAGAATAGACATTCTAGAGGAAACCACAGTTTCCTGCTGGATTTGCAGATGAAGGGTCTAGCCTAAAAAGATGGCTAATGCAGAATAAGCCCTTTAAAAACACTTGCCATATAAGTGAAAGAATAAATGAAGAAACACTAGGAATGATGGTATACACCTGTAATCTCAGCCCTCAAGAAGGATTGCTTCAAGTTCAAAGCCATCCTGGGCTACATAGCAATACCCTGTCTCGGGGGGAAAAAGATACTGGGGAGATAACTCAGCAGTTAAGAGCATTGGCTGCTCTTCTAAGGGACCTGGGTTCAATTCCTAGCACCCACATTGCAGCTCACAACCATTTGTAACTCCAGTTCCATGAGATATGTTGTCCATTGGTACCAGGCACACAGAAGATGCAGACATATGTGCAGGCTAATTACCTATATACATAAAAAATAAAACTAAAAAAATAAAATGAATGACTGTGGATGGGAAGTGCTGGTGCTGGGGTGCTGGTAGGAGACACAGAGGCTTGGGAACTGGGCTAGCTTCACGAGAGCAGCCATGCCATCAGAGGAAGGGCCTGAGACTCATTCACAGTGCCTTGCCAGGCCCTGTGAACTACTACTATACTGGATAACTATGGACCGGGGCCAAGCCCAGGAGCGGGACCAGCCAGGTGATAAGGACAGGTCCCAGCTCATGGGGCCTAAGATGTTGTCACTAGCAGCAGGTGAACCTGGTATTAGAAAGACTGTTGAGGATGTCTTGGACCTGGCTTCTTAGGAATTCACAGGATCATCCCAAGGGCCAGGCAGAGCTTTCCCTTCATAGTAGATCTGCTGCCCATATAACCAGGGAGCAAGGAGCAGGGAGACCTGAGGGAAGGCTGCCCCTGGCCCAGAACCTATGACCTTCAGAATGACTTCAGGGAATGGTGAACTGACAACTTGGGGGAAATTTTGGAGGTCTCGGTAGCAGGACTCTAGGACTTGACGAGTCAGGATGTTGCAGAGGGTCAAGGAAGAACTTTGATGTCCTTACCCATGGCTCTCACTTCAGCCTACTGCCCGAGGCTGTCTTTCTCTAGAAACAGGCACTGAGGGAAATCACATCAGCTGTGGCTCTGGGTAGCTCATTTTGGCTTCCTTAGCCCTGGTGCCTGCCTGTTCTTCTCTTGTTACTGTGAAAAATATCTGACAAAGGCAACTTAAGGAAGGGATATTTCACCCATAGTGGCAGGGTGCAGTCAGTCATGGCAGAGCAGTCATGGCAGCGGGAGCTCCGGGAGCATAGTCCCATTTTATTCACGATCAGGAAACAGAGGAAGATGGACACCAGTCATGGTGAACATGGCCAGCGGACTAAGAGTCACTTGGCAAAAAGGAGGTCCATGGGCTCGAACTTGCTCAGTTTATTCATACAAACATTCCTTATAATACCATGCTAGTATAAAGATTATGGTAATCCCGCCAGGCATGGTGGCACACACCTTTGATCCCAGCACTTGGGAGGCAGAGGAAGGCAGATCTCTGTCAGTTCAAGGCCAGCCTGGTCTACATAGTGAGTTCTAGGACAGCCAGGGTTACATATTGAGACCCTGTATTTAAAAACAAAAACGGAAAATCAATCATAAAGATCTGTGTTTTCTGATGGTCTTAGGCGACCCCTGTGAGAGGGTTGCTGGACGCCCAAAGGGGTCTCGACTCATAGGTCCAGAGCCACTGCTCTAGGTCATCTTCTTCGGTGAGGGTGCTTTTGAAGCAAGCTTGATCTGCATCCGCTGTGAGATCCTTCAGCTGTGGCAGAGCGAGGATGACAGCATTGTCAGATCCAGAAAGTCCCTGAGAGCCCACCAAGCTCTTGTTAGGTGGGCATGTCTAAACCCGGCAATGGTGCCACCTGCCGAAGCCAGAGGCATACAGTGGCCAGTTTCAAAGTCCCCTTGCCAATGGGAATCGGTGCAGAGGCTTGAGACAGCAGTGCAATCCTGAGGGCCACCTCCAAAGTTCACATGGAGATAAACATGAAGATTCATTAGGGGTGCACCCAGGGCTGGGCACGGTGGCACACGCCTTTAATTCCAGCACTCGGGAAGCACAGGCAGGCAGATCTTTGTGAGTTCATGGCCAGCCTGGTCTACACAGTGAGTTCCAGGACAGCCAGGAATATAAAGTAAGATCATATCTCAAAAAAAAAAAAAAAAAAAAAAAAGAGCAGAGGCATCCAAATTTAAACTAGGGATTTCTTGAACTGTAGTCAAATACTCTTCCAATATGGTATAGTTGACTTTAGTTTTGTGCTATTATCAGGTTTCACAGCTGGCTCATAAATCAGTGCCACCTTGAGGTTGGTTCAGTAACATATCCTGCAGGCATTACATTTTTCCAAGTCACACAAAATAGTTTTACACAAAATGGTTTCACTTATGTTCCCAACACTGGTGCTTAGCTTACTTTCTTCTCTTTATTCCGTCCAGAACTCTAGGCTTTTGCAATAGTATTACCCACTTTCAAGGTGGGTCTTCCAACCTCAGATAATCCTCTCTGTGCTGGAGACTTGTCTTTTAGCTGATTTTTTTTTTTTTTTGAGACAGGGTTCTGTGTAGCCCTAGCTGTCCTGGAACTCAATCTGTGGACCAGGCTGGCCGCAAACTCACAGAGATCCACCTGCCCCTGCCTCCTGAGTGCTGGGATTACTTTCAGGTGATCTTAGATCTGTAGAGTTAGCATCACGTGAACTCAGTGAGGGCCTGAGACAGCAAAACAGGATCCTAGAGGAGACTGAGACCTTCTCTGCTCAAAACCTTGTAAGGTACAGGGCGTGGTCTGCTGGCTCTGAGGCTGGGGGCAGGGTGACGGGCAAGAACAAAAGTGAAGCTACACTTGGTTTCCAGGGAGTGCAAGTGATGGAAAAGGTAATGGAGCCTGGTGCCCATGCTGGGCCTGCCATGGGCAGAGCTGTGTGGAGCTGTGTGGGCAGGCCCTTTCCAATACCTGCGCTGGGTCATAGTGTGTGGAAGAAGTGGCTGGTCATAGCCTGGCCCTAAGAGAGGCTCATAGCCAGAGGGGGAAGATCTGGGTAGCTTTAAATGCTACCTGGCTTTTGAACAACCTCACTCAAATAAAACAGTAGCTTTTCAAATAATGATGATAATGATAGTAATAATATGTTCATCCAAACTTTGTAACCTGGGCTCTTGCTGGTTATGGAACACTTTCTAGATGACCCTGAGACAGAAAGAGGGTTCATAAAACTTTTAAAAAATACTAACAAGTAGCCAGGTGTTGGTGGTGCACGCCTTTAATCCTAGTGCTCAGGGAGGCAGAGGCAGGTGGATCGCCGTGTGGCCAGACTTATCTACAAAGGGAGTCCAGGACAGCCAAGGCTACACAGAGAAACCCTATCTTGAATACCTCCCCCCAAATACTAACAAGAAGTCTTTCTTTTAAAAGATTTATTTAACTTTATATGCACCTGTGTTTTGCCTGCATGCATGTCTGTGTGAGAGTGTTGGATTTTCTTGAACAGGAGTTCCAGACAGCCATGTGGCTGTTGGTAACTGAATCCAGCTCCTCTGGAAGAACAGCCAGTGCTCTTAAACACTAAGCTATCTCTCCAGCTCCAGTTGCAAGTCTTTAAAAAATAATTTACCATCTGGGTATGGCAGCACACAGCTTTAATCCCAGTACTTAGGAGGCGGAGGCAGGCAGATCTCTGTGAGTTTAAGGCCAGTCTGGTCTACAGAGTGAGTTCCAGGATAGCCAGGGCAATCATACAGAAAAATCCTGTCTTGAAAACAAAACAAAACAAACAAAGATTACAAAAGGAGAAAAAAAAAAAAAAGGCTCCTTTAAGAAGTGGCTAAGTACGAAAAAAAAAAAAAAGGTACATGTGAAAAAAGTTACATTTCCCATTATGTGCCTCCACAGCGCCTCCAGACAGACAGTGCTCCTGCTTATATCTCTTTTATATTTAAAAACGTTTGTGCTCAACATAAAGTAGTTCACAACACGAACATTCCTTGAAATCCACGGTGGCAGTCTATTATAGAATGAGCCTACAAATGTCTCAGACAATTAGGAAAAAAAGCAGGAGGGGGCTTCTCTACACCAATTCTCTAAACAAGGACTTACTCACATTATAATTTTAAATCCTTCAGAAGATGACCTCACTGCCCAGAATGGCACTGGTGCAAAAGATGGGGTAAAGCTTGAAGTACTACAGAAAGATGTCTTGACATGAAAACAGCTTGGCCCATTCCTGGAGCTAGTGTCTTTCCTAAAGGTGCATAACAGAAGCTTTGGGTCCAATGAGGAGCCTAATTTCATGTATAAGAAGGCCTGGGATTGGGACATAATGCAGTGGCTAGATTTCCGAGCTGTCTGGTAATCATATCCATGGGCAGGGATAAAGACCTACAGGACTTACATCCCCTGGCCATTGGTCTGGTCAAATTTTCCCAAACTTGATTATATTAATGACTCCTTTCACTTTGAAGGGTACTACTCTAACCACCTGGAGTCATGTAAGATTCCTTCAACTACTTGGGGTAGGCTACAAACCTTCAATTTAGACAGGATTTGGTATGTCCCACAGATCACCAACACCTATGTGTGATAACAGCTCCTTAAGATGAGAATATAGTGGGGAACTGGGATTCAACTCCTTGGTGTTTGGACCCACAATGACAGCAAGGACATGATCCAATTATGTCAGCACATCCTAAAAATACAAAAGGCTTATGATCAGACTGTCTCACCTGCTAACATTACAAATAATCCTTGATAATCCCACCTGACCTGAACTTTACTGGATGTGTGTCTGTCTTTTCTTCATTCCCTCAACACTCCTCGCCAGCGTACTGAGACTGAGCACAGACTGATGTGGTGAGGCCCAGGACAAAGAAATTCCAGCCTAATGTGGAACAACAGAGGAGGAATATCTGAGAAGCATGGAAGATTAAAGCAATAAACTCATGAAGGCATGGGGCTCAGCAAGCACAGTAGGGCGCACCATAATTCAGGACACTGAAATAACCAAAATGGCCTCTTTGCTGCCTCCCCGCCCCCTGTGGAACAAGGGACTGGGCTTGCCCTAATTTCAGGTTGACATACACCCAGCTCTCTCCTGCTCAGGCTCCGCAGCCTCAGAAGGGGATGGTGTCTGGGTGGCTGAAGGCCAGAGAGGCCTGTGTTCAAACTCTACTTGTTGGCTCATTAGTTGTGTGGTGGTTTGCCCTCTGAGTCTTTGCTTGGGACCAGTGTGTTGTAAATGTTTATCAATATGCCCAGCATAGGAAACAAATGGATGTTAGGGAAGGATATACATTGTTGTTGTTCTGTGTGTGTATGTGTACTCGTGTGAGGGCAGGTGTGTGTGTGTGTGTGCTCGCGCGCGGATGTGTTCGTGTGTGTAGGCCTGAGATTGATGTCAAGAGTCCTCCTTGATTATTCTCCATGTTAATGTTGTGTCGCAGGGTCTCTCATTGAACCCGGAGCTCACCAACTCAACTAGACTATCTGGCTAATGAACCCCAGTGACCTGGCTGTCTCTATAACCCTTCCCCCAACGCCCCGCTGCTCCCACTGCTGGGGTCACAGACATTCACTAGCCAGCGTTTTTACACAGGTGCTGGGGACCTGAACTCTATTCCTCATGTTTACATGGCAGGCATTGTCTTAAAAGGTAATTTTAGGAGCTTGGGAAAAAGGTTCAATTGGAAAACCTGAGTTCAATCCCCAGAATCCAGTTTTGTTTTGTTTTTACAGAGTGGGCAATTGTAATCCTGCTGCTGAGGAGGCAGAGACAGGATTCCTAGATCAGACCAGCCCACTTGGCAAGTTCCAGGCCAGCAGAAGACCCTGCCTCAAAATATGGTGGGCAACACTCTAGGAATAACCCTGAGGTTGGCCTTGAACATGCATGCCACAATGTAGCTACACATATATGCACAACACACACAGGAACACACATAAAAAGGCAAGTTTAGGAGGCAAACGCAGAAAGATCTGTTCTAAGGCACCCTCAGCTGTACAGCAAGACCTGGTCTCAAACAAAATAAAACAACAACAAAAACATTTTCACTATGTGCCAGGCCCTGTGCAAATATTAACTCATTTAATCCTTGAAACACCCCAGCGATGCTGGTATAACTGGAAACAGCTGCTGGAGTGTTGGCAGGATTGGACGTCTGCATGTGGGCTTGTGAGTTCAACCCAGGCAGCCTGGCTTTTCTCCACAGGATCTGGGCCTGACTCAAAAACACACTTGGGCAAGAAACAGTGTAGTTACCTGGGATTGGAGAGTTCACCTATGTTTTCTTCTCCTGAGGCAGGGTCTTACCATGTAGCTCTGGCTGGCCTTGAACTCTACTCTACACACACACACACACACACACACACACACACACACACACACACACGGCTGGAGAGATGGCTCAGAGGTTAAAAGCACTGGCTGTTCTTTTAAGGTCCTGAGTGCAATTCCCAGCAACCACGTGGTGGCTCACAACCATCTGTAATGAGATCTGGAGCCCTCTTCTAGCCTGCAGGCATACATGCAGGCAGAACACTGTATACATAATCAATTTTTTTCAATCTTAAAAAAAAAAATGACAAACCATAATCTAAGGAGAGATGGCTCAGAGGCACTGGCTGCTCTTCCAAAGGTCCCGAGTTCAATTCCCAGCAACCACATGGTGGCTCACAACCATCTATAAAGATATCTGGTGACCTCTTCTGGCCCACATTAGTAGATACAGTCCAAACACTGTATACACAATAAATAAATAAAGTGTGCATCACACCCATGGAAGGGCACATTTTTTTGCATAGGTGAGCAGAGCTGGAGTCCTTAGGGTAGCTGCTAAGTGCTTCTGGGTGTGATGGTAAAGAGCTGCCACCGTGCAGCTCTGAAGGCAGATCAGATGCTTAGAGAACAGGGCTTCTGAAGAGCTTCAGGCCTCCCAGCCAAACTACCTATTGCCCAGGTAAGGGCCCCACCGGGTGTTCACACCATACAGATCAGGCAGGGTTCCACCAAAGTCCAGGTCGGCTGGCCCTGCCCTCTACTCCACCTTCTTACTACCTGCAGCTGCCCTCCCACCCTCACGAGGGTGGCCTGGATCCCTAGTGTCCTGGCTACCCATCCCACAGACTTTGCTAAGTTACCACACAGTCCTCACTTCCCAGCACACTGCTGCCACCCTCGGTTTATAGATTAGAAAACTGAGGTTCGGACCCTGTTGTCAGCAAGCCTTCTGCTGCATCCTCACAACCACCGTTTGAGGTGAGAACCGACTCCTGGTTTTACACACCAGAACCTGGGATGGTTGCAAGACAAGAGGGGACCTGAACAAAAGGCACTGTACATGGACAGCCTTACAGATGACAGAGAGCATGGGCAAAGGCCAGAAGAGACAGGGATGTTTTGACAATCTGATGGAACCAGAGAATGGAAAAGGCACTGGGAAGCAAGCAGGGTGAGGTTTTGTCTTGGGGAGGTCCAAAGCAGATGTCTATTATGGCCACATCTTTGTTCAGACCCTGCCAATGCTTCAGGACTTTTTGTTGCTTGGGTATGTTGTGGCTGTTTCTGAGACAGAAGCTTGCAATGTAGCCTAGGCTGGCCTCCAACTTGTGAGCTATCCTCCAACCTCCGTCTCCAGAACGCCGAGGCTGCGGGCGCACTTCACAGCCCGCGAGCTGTTCAATTTCTTTAACTGTCTGAAGTAAATATTCACTTGGGGCTACTCCGTGGTAAACCTGCGCCCTCGGGACGAGAGAGCCTTTCGGTCGCCCCCGAAACCACAGCGCCCACCCTCAGCCGGGCAGGATCCGCGCGTGCGCGTGCCCGCGGCCGCGCGCACGGTGGGCCGTCCCGGGACGTGACTTGTGGAACGTCCGCTCTAGGAAGCGGTGGCGGCGGGGGGACGGGGTGTGGGGTGCCCCGACTGCGCGCCTCCGGCGTCTGTTGCTGGTCTGGCGTGCTCCACGGTTTGGGTCTGACGCTCTGCAGCCCGCAACCTGAAAACTTTCCGACTGTTTCCGAAGCTCCGCGGGAGTCCCGAGGGCGTCCCTCCGCCGAGAACTCCGTTCAGGCACCTACGTGGCCACCCGTCCACCCTTCAGGGGTCCTCGAGCTTCTGCCCGAAGCTAATTAAGCGATGGACGCAGTAGCCACGGAGACTAGTCGATTGGCAGGCATGGTTTACCAACCGACTCGGGAAACTCCAGTCTGTGTTTGCCCAGCGCGTGGCCGGCAGCCCAATTAAGAAAGTGGAAGCGCCAGAGGGGGCGGTCGCGGGGGCGGGTTGGGTCGAGGTGATTCCCGAGGATTGTGCGCTGGAAGCCGAGGCGCCCGCGGGCGTCCGCACGATGCCGTGACGCGGCGGCGCAGCCCCGCGAGCGCACTCCGGCGGGCGGAGCCCGTCGGGTCCCGGCGGCGGCGTGGCGTGGCGTGGAGGCAAATTGTTGTTTTGAGAGCTGTTCTCTCGAGGCCCGCGGCGGGTGGGGGAGGGGGCGGCGGCCGCCGGGCGGGCCTCGTGTGCGCCTGCGCCGGCCTCTCGGCCGACCGGGCGGCACGCACGCGCATGCTCAGAGGACGTGGAGTCTCGTGGCCCGCGGCGGTGCGCCTGCGCGCCGAGAAGCCCGCTAAGGAGCGGCGCTGTCGGAGGTCGGGCGGGCAGGCGGTGACGTCGTGAGGAGAGCTTTAAAGTGCGGGCCGGGCCGGGCGTCCGAGGGTCCGAGCCAGAGTCGGGTCGAGTCCTCGCCGAAGCCCTCCGCGGCATGAGGCGCTGTCGGCGCCCTTGCTCCTGGGGACGTGGAGAGGGTGGAGGAGGAGGAAGCCCCGCTGTCGCTTGTGCTGCATGACCGGCCGCTGCTGAGGTTCGACCCCTTCCCGGCCCCTCTACGCCCCCCGCCGGTACCTTGACCCACGCATGGGGGCCTGGCCCTGAGGACCCCCCCGCTTCCCTCTCGGGCCCCCGGGCGCGTCCCCCAAGAGCCATGCCGGGCCTCCCCGGAGGACCCTAGAGTTGAGTTGCGGGGGCCATGGCGGCCGCCAGCGGCTACACGGACCTGCGGGAGAAGCTCAAGTCCATGACGTCCCGGGACAACTACAAGGCTGGCAGCCGGGAGGCCGCCGCGGCCGCCGCCGCCGCTGTGGCCGCCGCCGCGGCCGCCGCGGCCGCCGCCGAGCCTTACCCGGTGTCCGGGACCACCAAACGGAAGTACCAGGAGGACTCGGACCCCGAACGCAGCGACTACGAGGAGCAGCAATTGCAGAAGGAGGAGGAGGCGCGCAAGGTGAAGAGCGGCATCCGGCAGATCCGTCTCTTCAGCCAGGATGAGTGCTCCAAGATCGAGGCCCGCATCGACGAGGTGGTGTCCCGCGCCGAGAAGGGCCTGTACAACGAGCACACGGTGGACCGGGCCCCCTTGCGCAACAAGTACTTCTTCGGCGAGGGCTACACGTACGGCGCCCAACTGCAAAAGCGCGGGCCGGGCCAGGAGCGCCTCTACCCGCCGGGCGACGTCGATGAGATCCCGGAATGGGTGCATCAGCTGGTGATCCAGAAGCTGGTGGAGCACCGCGTCATCCCCGAGGGCTTCGTCAACAGCGCAGTCATCAACGACTACCAACCCGGCGGCTGCATCGTATCTCACGTAGACCCCATCCACATCTTCGAGCGCCCGATCGTGTCCGTGTCTTTCTTTAGCGACTCGGCACTTTGCTTCGGCTGCAAGTTCCAGTTCAAGCCCATCCGGGTGTCGGAACCTGTGCTTTCTCTGCCGGTGCGCAGGGGGAGCGTGACTGTGCTCAGGTAACACACCTGGGAGGAGGGACTGGCCCTGCACCCTGCCGCCTAAAACTATACAGCCGGGTCCAGGAAGCAGCCGCTGATGGGAGCCCGTTCTTTTTATGGTTCTGACTCATCTTCTTGCGTGCAGACCATAGGAAGCTTGTGTCTAAAACTCCTAGCGGGATAAGACCAATATGGAATTCTGTACCTGTAGGCAGCTTGGGAGTTGCCATAATAGCTTATCTGAAAATTCATCTAAAAGCATCCTTCTTGAGAGGCTAAGCGTTTTTCTGAAGGCTAGCATAGGAGTTCGAGTTCGCGTTCCATGTATGTGGTGTTTGTCTTGCATTTTGTTTTTTAAAGGGGCGAGTCTCAGGTAGCCCAGGCTAGCCTTCAACTTTCTACATTCTTCTTGAATGTCTGATTCTCCTTCCTCAGCCTCCCAAATTGCTGGGATTACAAATATACACTGGCCGGCTTTTCTGTGGTGCCTAGAGATAGAAGAACTGAAGGCTTCGTGTTTTCCTTGTGGTTTTAAGCAAATCACTTTCGGTTTTGTACTTCATTTCCATATCTTAAAAAGAAAGGAAACCTGTGTTTAACTATCTAAAAGTTTTCTCTGTTCTGTTGTTTGTGGTTTAACGAAGTGTAATGGATTCCTTAACAGAAAATGCAGGCAGAGCCCTTGAGTTTTTTGGTTTGTCTTTTGTTTGTTTTGGGTTTTTTGTTTTTATTTTGTTTTTCATACAGATTTCTCCATTCTCGGGAGGGATGACTTCCTTGGGATTGAACGTTTTAGTGGTTTGGCCAGAAATAAAATGCAGCACGCTCTTAAAATTCTCCCTTAGTTTCAGGCCTCTGTAGGCACTTTGTAGAAATACCATAGCTGTAAGTGGGATCCAGTAAAACAAAATACAGCTGGTCTGTTGACCTGATGTTTGGCCTTGTGATTCGGTGACCACATCTTAGGCTCTTGGCCAGTTGGGGCCCCAAGTCCTGCTAAGAATTAGTTCAGTGCCCTGGCCAGCAAAGTAAATCATCTGCTGGAACATTGCTGGTGTTTAAATGAAATAAAATTTTATTCCGGAGGCTGTCTTCTTTCAGCCCTAAAAAAGATAAAAACTCAGTTAATGTACTTCAGTAATCCTCAAAATAGGGCCCGGACTACAACTGTTTGGAGTGTCTCAGATGTGCAGTGGTGCTTTCAGATGGATGTCTTGACAAAATGTTTTTAAAAGGGACTTCCAACTGGTAGTGCATGCCCATACGCTCAGCACTCAGGCTGAAGCAGAAAGATTGCTGTATGTTTTGACTTTGTCTCAAAAAGATCCACCCACTGTCCCAAAAAGAGCAATCTCCAGGGAGCTTGCTGTGTAAGGAAGATTTTGGGGTCTGCCTTGTTGAATTTTTTTGGTGCTGAAAGGATTTCACATAAAAGCTATTTGGTCATTTAGTGGGATATTTTTCCTCATGGTCGTACACCTTTCAGCTTATCTAGAGGTTTGGTAGTGACTGGCTACTTAATGGGGAAGTCTTAAGGCACTTTAAGACTCCCCCAACAGTCACACTCTTAGATTTAAAAGTGGAACGTTCACATTCTTAATATGCAGGTCTGTTAGTGATTAATGAGATTGCGTCATCAGGAAAATCGTCTTCTCTTGCAGTAGTAAAGTCCTAAAGGTTTCCTAGTCCCTTCTAACCCTTCCTGGATCCAGATTTGGCTCCAGAGTTGGTGTGGGAGGCCCAGCCACATCCTGAAAAGTGCTGCCCCAGGCTTTGAACCCAGCTCTCCCTTGCTTTGGGATTTTATTTACCTACTTGATACAGTCTCACCCTGTAGCCTAGGCTGGCCTCCAGCTCAGCATCATGGGATCTTGTAGGTATGTTCTCAGAGCTGCTTTTCTTAACTGTGTAACAGATGGTCTGTTAAGTGTGATTTGGCGTCTGAGAGCATCACTCCTGAGTCCCTGCTCTGGGTGGGAAAGGTGCTAGGAAATCGGTTGATCTTGAAGCATAGTAGTTCATTCATTCTCGATAGGGGCTTTAGACCAGCGGATCATCAGAATCCAGAGAGCTCATCAAAGAAGCACACTGAAGGGGCAGTACTCACGGTGAGGTGCTGAAAGTTCTTGGGAGGAAGGAAGCTGGACCATAAAGAATGACTGGAAATTAAAGTGGTGGAGTCACACACTAGCAGAGCTACACAGCAGTAGAGCGCAGTCATTGGTAAAGATGATTAATGTGAGGCAGATGGTATTCCCCATCAGGAGACTGTGGTAGAGGTAATCCTGGTAACGATAACGATAGTCTCAACTACTATCAAAAGTCAATTACTGTTGATATCAACTACTGATATTTGGAGTGGCTTGTAAATTTCTTTTCTGTAAAATTCTGAGTGGGCTGTCCTCACAGTGTTAAAAAGAAAAAAAAAATAATAAATTAGGAGCATCCCTGGCCATTATCTACTAGACACTAGTTATACTTTTTATGACAATCGGAGATCTGCTCCAGACAGCTGTCCCAGTAGGTGAGGGTTGCGGGGCAGCTTCGTTCCAAGTGGAGAACTATTGTTCTAGGTTTTGGACACCTGCTAATTTAAATCTTTAATTTGACACCTACTCACTATTACTCTCTGCTTCCTTGGTATGCCGTTAAATGAGCACCTGCCTATTAGTAACACCCCTCATCAAATCCTTCGAGGAAACCTGTAAGAGCTTTGGTTTTTCCTTGTTTCCTAATGGGCTCACTTACCAGAGCTGTGAGTGGTAAAGTTTCAGGTTAGCTAGATGAGAACAGCTGTGTTTTGTAGATGTAGATGGATTCTAGCAATTGCTGTCTGTGTTCAGTTGTTAATGGCAATAGTGTCTCTATTTGACAAAGGCAGCATGGCAAAATTGTTTTACATTTATTAGTGGGCAGCACGTATTTTGATTATTGACAGACATTTGAATCCAGTGTGTAAACTTGTATATTATTAGAGCAAGGCCTCACAGACTATTCTAGAAGTGTTTTACATTCCTTTCCAAACCAACTGGCAGGGTTTGACTGTTGGTAACCTTCCCATTTGGGACCTGGAAGGGGGTCAGTCCCCTTTTTATGCTATTCTCTATTATTTACCTTTTCTTCATGTTAATTCATTCTACGTTATTTGTCCTGGCTCTGCAAAGTGAAAAGGACAGATTAAAGCAGATCTCAGGCTCTGCAGAGTGAAAAGGACAGATTAAAGCAGATCTCAGAGCTGGAGATAGTTCAGGTGGTAAAGTGCTTAGAAACATAAGGACCTAACTTTGATTCCCTAGGAATCTTCCACCACCTCCCCTCCCCCTCCTTTTTTTTTTCTTTAAAGCCAGATGTGATGGCCCATAGTTGTAATCACAGAGCCAAAGAGGTGGAGACAGGACTCACTAGCCACTGACCTCACCTCACCTTAACCAAGGAGAGAATTTTTCTCAAAAAAAAAAAAAAAAAAAAAAAAAAAGCAAAGTGAATAATGCTTTAGGAATGACACCTGAAATTGACCTCTGGCCTCTACATGCATGTTCACTCACACACATGCACAAATCAAAAAGCAATAAACATTCCTTTATGAGATCATTCTTTAAAAACAGACTTCAGTAACATTACTTCATGAAGTAATTCTTAAAATAAGGTTTTGTTTTTTTGTTTTTTTTTTTTTTTAAAAAAACAGACTTAAATTGTTTTAATTAGAATAATCACTTCAAGCTGGCCTTTAGTCCCAGCACTTGGCGGGGCAGAAGCAGGCGGATCTCCATGGGTTTGAGGACAGCCTGGTCTATAGATCTAGTTCGAGGATAGCCAAAGCCACACAGAGAAAGCGTCTCTGGAAAAAAAAAGAGTAGCTGCTTTAAAGCTAACTGCTTAATCACTGCTTTATAGTCATTCCAGAGTCCTGGGTCTTGATCACCAGTCTAGAAATGACTGCTTCATCTAGCCATCCATTGTGCACTGGTGAGCTTAATCTTTGATTCTTCTGGTTAATAGAATTGAAGGACCAGACATCCCTGTCAGTTTGGGGCTAATAACTAACTGATCTGGTTTGGATGATTGAAAGCAAAATTTAGCTTTGTGGTTTAAAATAGTTGGAAAAGTAGGACAGAAAAGTCCTTGGCTGCACCTTTTATTTGGAACTTTTTTTTTTCCCAATTATGAACATTTATTTGTGTGTGTGCATATGTGTTGTGGTTCATCAGAGGACAACTTGTGGGCGTTGGTTTTCTCCATATGGGTCCCTAGTATCAAACTAAGGTAGTCATTCTTGGCAGAAAGAACCGTAATCCTCTGAGCCATCTCACTTGCCTCTTGTTTGAAGTTTTCCGTTTCCATGGGATGCAGTCAGAGCTGTACACCCCGAGGATGGGCTGTTGGTTGATAAAGTTGGCTCCCCTTTGTGTTGCCAGGCAGACAAGGCAGAAAGTAGCAAAGGAGAAGCAGCTGGGACCCATGGTCTTTAGCAAGAAAGCTCAGAGCAAGCAAAGAACAAAACAGGCCATGAAAATCTCAGCGCGGACTGGCTGACCATTTTAGCGTGAGTTATTAGTGTGCAACTCTCCGTATGCTATAACCCTCCCTGTCTCATAGGACTGGTATTTATTCCCATATTCTTTGATGAGGCCAGCAAGGCCCCATGACAAAGTAAACTTTGTTACCAAGAAACACAGATGGGCTTTTCTGCTTTCGCTGTTACTTAACACATTCAGCTACCAAAAATGAAAAGATTATACCAAACTTGGTAGAAGTTTCATTATCACTATTTTAGCTGTTTGAACATAAGCAAATTATTATTTTATTTTTTTTGAGACAGGGTTTCACTATGTAGCCCTGGATAAGCCTAGAATGCAGTATGTATAGAGGGAACTCACAGGTCTTCTTGCCTCTGCCTCCCTAGTGTGAGTGCTGGGAGGCATGTGTACCCTGGCCTTAAACAAAGTGTGGTCCTGTTTTTTTCTTTTACTGAAAAGGAGACCAGTGATGCCTTAGAGTTGTTAGAAAAGATGGAATCTCTGTTACACTGCCGAGTTTTGAAGTTTAGTTAAAGATATCTCAAGAGATGAGCTGCTGTCAGTACTTTGGTATGTACAGAATCGAGATATATCTGTGCTCCAAAGCCCCAAGACTTATTTAAGCCATTTCTGGAGGCTTGAACCCACACTTCTTCTGCATATGTACCAGTGGCTCCTGCCCCACCTTCGGCCCTTAACTTCTTCCCCCTGCAAGCCTGTCAGTGGTAAGGCAGACTCAAGGGGGCTGCCTAGGGAAAAATAGCCCATCAAAGCAAGGCTGGTATTAGGCTATTACCTTGTGTAGTTCATTCCTTTTTTTTTTTTTGGGGGGGGGGGGGGGGTTATGTCCTGGCCTAGGCAGGGCATGGAACAGTTGGGGAATGGTAACCATCTTGAAAATGAGCTTTAGCAACTCCATCTCCAAGACTATCCCTAGAAGAAATGTACATAATCCTGTACATTTTCTTATTAATGGTTTTCCAGACTTACTTAACTTGTGTACAGTCCTCCAAGGAAAGGTTTGTTGCAATCTCTGTTGGTCTTAAAATATAGACTTCAAAATGTTAGATTTTATTTTTTTGGTGTAGAATATTAACATTTAATTTTTATTTACAGTGCAGAGTTGAGTAAGGCCTTTGAAGAGTATAGTCTTACAAGGAAAACACAATTTCCATAGTCCAAATATAGTAAGAGTCATGAGATGGTGTGGTTGGGTAGCATGGAGGAAATCATTTGAGGCAGGAGGCTTAGGGAAATTTACCAGGAGAGGAGATGGGTGTGTCAGCTCCCCCCAAGTTATTCCAACGTATATATTAGTGAGTTACAGAGCAAGGTCCTGTCCCTTGATGGTTACTGCTGGGCATAGGGGCTCAGCCCAGGCAGAGAGCAGGGCAGCTGGATAGCATAAGGTATTTCCTCCTCTGCTTTCCTTGTGAAAGCAGCAGCAGGAAGCCATAGAACTTTCTTTCACATCAAGGGTGGACACTGGACCCACGGTATTACATATCAAACTGGCAGAATGAGATTTTCACTGTCTCATGTAGCAGGTAGGATTCTTAGCAGTCAAAATAAAACAAAACACTCTCGTCTCAGCTGGTCGTTTTCTGCTTAAGTTCAGCCAAGAGAACTTACTAAAACCTTTTGGGTTCCCTCTCCCACCAGGAAGTTCTAGAATATTGGTGTTAATAGCCTTAAACATAAGGTTGGTGTGTCAGGGCCACTTCTGTGGTTGTGTGCAGCGCTCCCTCCATACTAGTGAGCCCTGGGCTTATGGCAGGAGCCTGTGTGGCTTGTTTGTTTTATAGCCCTTTGGAGGATGGGGCAGGGAACATGGAAGCAGTCAAGCTTTGACAAACAGTCTGGATTTGTTCCAGAGCTACATCAAGAGAAGTAGTTTCTTTTTGGAAATGAGAAGTCAGTCAGGGCCCTTGTTCATGCTTCTAATAGCCAAGTCAAACATAATAGTCATTAACAGCAGGAACATTGCGTGTAGCTAGCACTGCAGATTCAGGCCTTTGAGATGTGCTGTTACATTTAGCTCTTTTGGGAGGAATATGGAGGACTGTTTGCGGCCCGGCCTCTGATCACTAATACAAAATAATAATAACATGGCTCACACCTGTAATCCAACATTTAAGAGGCTGAGGCAGGAAGATTGCTATGGGTTTGGTGCCAGTCTAGACTAAATAGTTACAGGCCCACTTGGATCATTGAGGGAGACCTAGAGCTAGCACTAGCCTGGGAGTAGGACCAAGAGATCCCTGCTAGTGTAGAATTCTGTAGGGAATCTGAGGTTGTGTTTCCTTGGCAGGAGCTGAACTCAGACTCTGCCTTTCTAAGTGGTCTGGGCCCCTTAGCAGTACAGGATGCTTAGGATCTTAGGTAGAAGGGTCTGATGTCCTCTGAGTTATCCAGCATCATTCTTAACCCTCAAGTAGGACTCTAACCGCTTTCTTGGCAGAGGTTTGCCATAATTTTTGATTCTGCCTTGAAGGAAAGTGGTGTCTGTATGCATTTTAACATCTTGCATTTTTAATAATGACAAAGAAATGCGTACCAAAATTATAAAGTATAACAAAATGAACACTGGAGAATGCTCTGCTTACAAGCATTGAAGAAAGGAAGGTTTTCTGTTCAACACGTGACTTAACTGCAGTTAGAAAACTTGTAGCTAGATAGAGCATAGTGGTGCACACATTTAATCCCAGGACTTAAGAGGTAGAGGCAGGTGGGTCGCTGAGTTTAAGGACAACTGGTCTACATAGTGAGTTGCATCCAGGACAGCCAAGGCTATGAAAGAAGACCCTGTCTCAGACAGGCCAAAAAGCTTGTAGCTGACAAAGTCCTGAACCCATGTCTGTAACTTCTATGTGGGGTGTCTCGTTGTGGGCTCACAGTTATTAATAGGGGTGAAGAGTGGGTTAAAGTCAATGAGTCTTTTGCTGTAGTAACTTTTAGATCCTTTCACATACCAATACTTTTTGAAACTCTAGTAAGTATTCTCCAACTTGACTTGGCTTATGGATGTTTGTCCATATCTTTTGTGGGGATAATATGCACACACAGACACAAACAAGGGGCTGGAGAGATGGCTCAGAGTTTTTAAGAGCAAGAGCACTCACTTGGCTGTTCCAAAGGTCCTGAGTTCAAATCCCAGCAACCACATGGTGGCTCATAACCTGTAATGAGATATGGTGCCCTCTTCTGGGCATGCAAGCACACATGCAGGCCATATCATAGTAAATAAATAAATCTTAAAAACAACAAAAACACTAAAGAACCCTGACCTAGAAGCAGCTGAAAGTGGGGATAGGAACAGGGAAAGCATTTATAAAGAGGGTCATTTTGTCATCAGCATGGACTCAAACCAGAATTTGGGGAACAGGGAACTCTATGGTACTCCTTGTTGTCCTGGAACTTGCTATGGAGACTAGTCTGGCCTTGAAGTTCCAAAGAGCCATCTGCCTTTGCTTCCCGAGTGCTGGAATTTAAGGCTTACACTATCAAGCCTGGCTTTCAAATCAGTTTTGTTTTTGTTTTTGCAGACTGTTCTCTGTATAATAGTCCTGGACTTGCTGTGTTTACCAGGCCGGCCTCACAGCGATCTGCCTGCCTTCGCCTCCCAAGTGCTAGGATTAAAGGCATGACCACCATGACCAACTGCATTCAGATTTTTAAATCTGACGTGCTTTGTTCTAGGGCGATGTTTCTCAGCTTGTGGGTTGCCGCCCCCTTGGGGTTGGGCAACCCTTTCACAGGGGTCACCTAAAACCACGGGAAAACACAGATATTTCCATTATCAGTAGCAAAATTACAGTTACAAAGTCGCAGCAAAAGTAATGTCATGGTTGGGGTTCACCACAACATGAACTGTATTAAAGGGTCTCAGCACTAGGAAGTGGAGAACCACTGCTCCAGTGGCCGACCCTGAAACAATTTGGCCTTGTACTTCTTATTGCCTTTTGAATCCAGCATTGCTCTTGGTGCAGTCCAGCCCTTAAGGAGTCGTTCCCAGATCGTTTGTGTTTGAGTTAGTGAAGCATGCGTTATCTGTACAGCTGCACTTGAGAAGTAGCTGGTCGGGATTGGGGATTTAGCTCAGTGGTAGAGCACTTGCCTAACACACACAAGGTCCTGGGTTTGGGCCTCAGCTCTGAAAAAAAAAAAAAAGAGAGAGAGAGAGAGATAGCTGATCAGCAGCTATGAGAAAAAGGTGTGTGGTCTAGGGGCAGCCAGGAGTCTTAAATGGGAAAGCTCTTTCACCAGGCCTGGCATCAGGCTGTGTTGATCTCTGCAGCTCAGTAGAGAAGCTTAGAGAATATCTTGGGGTGCTCATTGAGTCATGTGAGGGCCTCAGTGATCAGAACTATTCCCAGAACTTCAAATCAGAAGGATGCCAGGTGAGAGGATAGTTACCTAACCACATTTGTTAACCTTTAAGCAGTTTTAAAATCATGTAACTTTAAGTAGAAATCTCATTATGATGGAAATTTGTAAAATATCTGAAACATACCTGAATTCACAATTTTGAATTTCCCCAGAGGAGGCTTTTGAAAACTTGTTTCCAGGTCTGTGTTGGGAGTTAATGATCCTCGTCCTCCCTTTATTTCTGTGTTGTCCATAACTGCCTCAGCTCCTCTCTAGGCATGGGTCGGGCCAGGCTTCTTCTGTGTTTTCACCAAGGACTCCCACTTTACTCCAGTTGCCTCCAGAATTTGTTTTTATATTTGTTTTCGTGCTGGGAGTTGAACTCAGGGCCTTACACATGCCAGGCAAGTGCTTTACTTCTGAATTATACCCTAGCCTTAAGAGCTGCAAACAAAAGGGATACTAGTCTATACTAGGGGAGTCCTACTTCACTCTGTTAAGTGACCAGTGAATCTTCTGTGCCAAGTTTTTCGGACACTACTTAGGGCTTAAATGTGATGTTTCTCTTCCATGTAAATTCTTGAACTTCTCAAGTAGTAGGCAGAGGGCAACCAGAAGACTTGATCCTGTTTCTGTCCCCAGTGAACTTTGGTTGTCTGTTTATTCTCTTACTGGTGACTTGTTCTCTTTCTTTCTAGTGGGTATGCTGCTGATGAAATCACTCACTGCATACGGCCTCAGGACATAAAGGAACGCAGGGCGGTCATCATTCTCAGGAAGTAAGTACCTTCATGGCTGGCATCCTCTGCTTTACCTATAGGCCTGCCTGGATCATTTTAGAACTTACCTCTGTACTTCTAGCTCGTCAATGTTTTACATCCTTTGACTGTCTAGAGGGGGCAGTATTGAACAAAAGTGCTCCTGATATCTATTGACACTTTTTTTTTTCCTTTTAAGGATTCACTTTATTTATAATTATGTGTGTCTGTGTGTTGGTATGTACACGTGTGTGCAAGTGTCTGTGGAGTCCAGAAGAGGGAGTCAGATCCATTGGAGCTGGAGTTCCAGGTAGTTGTGAGCCACCAGACATAGATGCTAAGAACCAAACTCAAGTCCTCTGCAAGAACAGTGCATTCTTTTAATCTTAAGTTATCTCCAGTTCCTTTGGGCACAGTCTTGAAACAGGATTTGGGGAGTACTTTTCTAAACCAACCTCACCCCCACTCTTCTTTATCCTCTATTCTGACTTGTCACATGCACTTTCAGTAATTATTTTTAGACTGTACCGTAGCAGCCTACTTTAAAAATGCCTAGGCTTTCACTTCTAGAAGGAGCAAGGAATAAGGAGAGGTGACAAGAGTGGGAGGTTAGGATGCAGTATTTAGCTGTCTCATAGCTGTGGCTGTTCCCCCTCTGGTGCGGGCCTTTGGGGACATACTAACATTTATAACCTACCCTATCCTAACTGGGCATGGTGGCTCACTAATACCTGTAATTCATTTGGAATGCTAAGGTGAAAGGATTGAGACTTTGAGTGAGGCCTGTCATAGAGTAAAAAAGAAAAAAAAGGGAGAAAGAAAAGGAAGAAAAAAAAAGAGAAAATTTAGTCAAACATAGTGAGCCATCCCTGAAATGTTAACACCTAGGACAGGAGTTCAAGGCAGCCTGCTACATGAAGCTGTGTACTTGTTTGCTCGTTTGCTGTCTTTGTTTCGTTTAAATCATTCTTACAGTGTTGTCCTGGTGGGCCTCAAATTTACTATGTAAACCAGGCTGGTCTTGAACTCTTAGAAACTCACCAGCCTCTATTTTTGAAGTGCTGGGACTAAAGGTATGTGCCACCATAATAAGAGGCTCTATCTTTTGAAATTAAAAAAAAAAGGTGAGCAAAGCAAGTCCAGTGTACAGGTTCAGACTATGCTTGTTGGGATGTATGACATTTGCCTTTTTTTTTTTTTTTTTTAATTTAAGCAAATTATGCTGGGCACAGTGACTCACATAATCTCAGCATTTGGGAGGCAGAAGCAGGTGGATCTCCATTAGTTCGAGGCCAGCCTAGTATGCACAGTGGGTCCAGGATAGCCAAGACTACACAAAGAAACCCTGTTTCAAAAAACAAACAAACAAAAAAAAGTAAGATCTTGAATACATTTCTAAATTTTGTTACAGAAAATGTTATAGGTTAAGTCAAGTGGAGTAGTGCAGAGGCAGATGGATCTTTGTGAGTTCAAGGCTAGTCTGGTTTATATAGTGAGCTCCAGAACAGCTGGAACGGCAATAGAGTGACCCCGTTTCAAAAAGGCCGGCAAGTTGGCTCATTCGGAGTGCTGGCTACTCTTCCAGACGTTCAGGGTTAGATTGCCAGCATCAGATGGTGGCTCAACCATCTGTAATTCTAGTCCTAGGGGATCCGACACTCTTCTGGCCTTCAACAGACCCAAGACTACACAACTTCTATAGAGTGACATTCAGTGAACTTCTATATAGTTAGAAGAGGTGTTTGGAATAGAGGCTTTGGAGCTTCACATTGGATTTAGACTTTCACTATTGAATTACATCTTTTCGGGTTTTCAAGACAGGGTTTCTCTGTGTATTAAGCCCTGGCTATCCTAGACTCGCTTTGTAGACCAAGCTGGCATTGAACTTACAAAGATCTGCCTGCCTCTGCTTCCCAATGCTGAGTACTGTGATTATTAAAGGTGTGCACCACTGTGCCTGTACCATCCCTCTATAGGCTGTCACAGCTCGTCACATGGCAATTATGAATTCCCAAATTCATATTTAGGGGTAGTTGAGGGTGTGTCTGGAGCCTAGCTTGCCATCCACGCCAAATGAGGCATCAGTTGATTAATGAATAATTTGGGCCGCCAAACAGAAGTTTGAGAATAGCTGTTGGGACTTGTCTTGTGAAAGGATAAACTGAGACAGTTGAAAAGGAACGCATCCTCACTTGGGCACCCAGATACTATTTAGAGATCAGAGGTAGCCTTGCAGTACCTGGGTGATGTGGTGTCTTTTGGTAAGGCCGAGTTCTAGTGAGTACAGTCTGGACATTGAGGCCGCCCTGTTCCTTGTAGTCAGGGTTAGAGTCAGTCTTGCATAAAGTTCAGATAAAGAGAGCATAAACTAAGAAGGAGGACCTGGCAGTTGTAACGCCAGCTCAAATCCGTCTGAGTTGACAAGATCCGGAAGAGAAGTAGGCTTGTCCTCTCTCCTCTCTGGCCCTCTCTGCTTCAGTTTCTTTCCTGGGGACCCCCCACTATTCCCTTCTCTCTTCTACACTCTCCCACTGTCTCTTTCATCTCTGTCTTATTTCTCCTCACTCCCCACTCCCACTCCCACACAGTAAATCTCTTCATATCCAAAAAAAAGGTTCTGAAGTTTCCAGGACCTGGGAGGGAAAGGCAAGCAGATCTGTGAATTCAAGGCCAGCATGGTCTACAGCGTGAGTTCCAAGGTAGCCAAGGCTAAAACAGAAACCCTGTCTAGAAAAACAAAAGAAAAAAAAATGTTCTGAAGCACTAGGGGAGAAATAGCTAGAGATCATTTACCAAAAGTTAGCTAACATCAGTGTGTTCTAGGTTCTGTATAGTCCTAAGAAATTATATTTTGTTTTGTTTTTTGTTTCATGGTGGCGTTTATGAGTCGGCCAGTGCTTTACCACTGAGCTGTACCCAGCCCAAGTGACCTCTTATCTGTGTGTCCTCTGGGGAAATTAGCTACTGAAGTAAGTCAAGAAAGGCTTCTGAGAGACCTGCAGGAAGGGCCTTATCCAGGAACAGAGAACAGAGGGTCTCAGGGTCTGAGGTAGTTTGGCCAACAGGTGCTCTTTGGGCGAGGGATGTAGCTCCATGCTAAAGACTTGCTTAGCTCTTCTGAGGCCCTGGTTCCATTGATGGCACCAGAAAAAGAGAGGGAAGGCAGGCTCTGAGGCATCCACTGTACTGGAACAGACTAGAAATGAGGTAGAAATTGATACAAATCTGGATGGCACTAGGAAGCCACCAAAAGCCGTGGAGTATGGGGTTCACACATGACAGGTTGTAAGAGCCTGAGTTCAGTGGCTTATTTTACCATTGGAGCCATAGGTCTACAGAGGACCCCACCCTCGTTAGTGTCTGGGTGAACGGAGGAGGGTTGTGGTGAGTGCACTTTGCTCTGTCCTCAGGAAAGTCTGAATGGCTAGATCTTGGTTTCCCCGGCTGTAACCATGCCTAAGTTGTTGCCCCATGGACACACTTGCCACCTCTGGAGCATAGTGAATGTGGGCTGGTTCCCCATCTCCCAGAATTGCGGTGCTGCCTTCAGGCAGCTCTGCCCCACCACAGTGAGCACCTCTGTTAGAGACCTTGATAGGGTAGTAGCTGTGTGACTGAAGCCAGGGGTCTGACTTCTTAGTTTAGTATTGTTACCTACCTTCAGCAGCTTCTCTGGGTGTTAAATGATGAGTGGGAAAGGAGCATAGGAGGGGTTCCTGAGACAAAAGTCTATCCCTTCCTGACCCATAGTCTACATGTGGATGTATTGGAGGCTATTGTTGTCCTTTTGTTTTCTTGTGTGTGGTATATGTGTATGCATGTACGTGTACACATTGGAGACCCAGAGTTGGTGTTGGGACTCTTCCATCATCTCTACTCATTTTTTAATTTGTTTTGTTTATTTTTACACATGGATATTTTGCCTGTCCTCTTGCTTGCCTGTCAAGCATTTTAAATGTTGGAGCCAACTCCCCAGTCCATGTTGACTTGTTGTAGCCTTGGCCATCGTTTCTTGGTTCCAGTCTCATCTGTACCTTGGCCTGATTCGTTTTATCCTGATGACAGATTGCAACTCTGGGAGTGGCAGTCTTCAGGCCAGCCCTTCCTTTCCTTTGAGAAGTACTCAAATTTGCTTACCTTTTTTTTTCTTCCTCTTGTGTTGGTTATTAAACCCAGGAGTTTTCATGTGTTTGATAAGTACTTTACATAACTATAGTCTGGGCCCCAGCTCAGACCTGTTAGGCAGATCTTCACTTCTCTTCCACCTTAAGCCTCATTTATATTTTTCCTTCCTTTCCTATCCTTGCCTATCCTTGCCTTGCCTTGCCTTCCTTCCTTCCTTCCTTCCTTCCTTCCTTCCTTCCTTCCTTCCTTCCTTCCTTCCTTCCTTTCTCTCTCTCTCTCTCTCTCTCTCTCTCTCTCTTCCTTTCTTTCTTGCTTACTTTCTTGATTCCCCCCCCCCCCCAAAATCTCATCATGTAGCCCTGGCTGGCCTCCAGCTCAGAGATCTGCTTGCCTCTGCTTCTGCCTCCTGGGTGCTGAATTAAAGGCACGCACTACAACACGCATACCTCAAACTTTCAAAAGCCCTTGGGTAGGGAGAGCTAGAGAGGTGCTCAGTGGTTCAGACATGCTTTGCTCTTCCAGACAACCTGAATTCAGTTCCTGGCACCCATATCTGGTGGCTCACAACCACCTGTAGCTCCAACTCCAAGGAATCCAACTTCTCTGGCCTCCATGGACATACATATTCTCCACAATAGACGGACATATACATATTTTTAAATTTTTAATAATATAAAATTTTATTAAATAAAAAGAATCTCCTTTGAGCCAGGCATGGTGGCACATACCTTTACTCCCAGCACTCAAGGAGGCAGAGGCAGGCGGGTTGCTGTGAGTTTGAGGCCAGTCTATTCTACAAAGTGAGTTTAGGACAGCCAAGGCTACACAGAGAAACTCTGTCTTGAAAAACCAAAAAAAAAAAAAAAAAAAAAAAAAAAATGAAGAAGAAAAAAAAAGTCCTTTTGGTCTCTGTTTGTTTAGCATTCCCCAAAGGACTACTGCTAGATTGATGTGGCAGGGGTGTGGAGTAGGCTAGGCTTCTCTTCATTCCCGAGCTCTGTCACTTGGCTTTCCTGACCCTATGTCTATGAGAGAGTAAGGTGGTTCTGCTTTCCTTCATCTCTCCTATCTTCCTGGGCAAACCCTTCCCTGTGCTGGCAGGGATGAGATCATCTATTGGAGTGTGCCCACAGTTCATTGGCAGGTTGGATAGATAGATATTCATAGAGAAACTGCAAGTTTCTGGAGTAATTTCTCAAGTAACTGGGTTGAGAAATTCTGCGTTGTGTGGCTGGGAGTACCCAGGGGTCTGTCTGCATGCACAGCAAATTGCAGTCATTGAGGCGTCCAAACAGAAGTTATTTCCAATCTCCACTTCTGGGCCTGAAAGTAAGAAAGACATGCTCTGAAGTGACTAGGCTGATCTCTAGTTGAACCCATGAAGAGACCAGTACAGAGCTGCTGGCCTGCAGGTCAAGCCGGTCTTCACTAGAGAGAGGTCTGTTCTGATGGGGTTTATGCCTTTACCAGAGGCCCTTTTGAGACACCGTATGTGTTTCCTTTGCAGGACAAGATTAGATGCACCGCGATTGGAGACAAAATCCCTGAGTAGCTCCACATTGCCACCCAGCTATGCTTCAGATCGCCTGTCAGGAAACAACAGAGACCCTGCGCTGAAACCCAAAAGGTCCCACCGAAAGGCGGACCCTGATGCTGCCCACAGGTACTTAGAACCCTCAGCAGAGGCCAACAAAGCAGCTGATGCTCTGCCTGAAGGCTGGCAGGAGCATGGGTTGTCTTTACTTCAAAACCTTGTCTTTCTTTTGGCAAAGTGGCATTGGTGGAACACACACACAACAGACAAAACACCTGGCCAGTGCATATTGCCCCTTGGAGGAAGGGGTTCAACAGAAAGTCTGAGAAATGGAAATTCATGGCCCTCCCATGACTTGTCTTGTTCGGTGTCATCTGGACACACTTGTAGGTTAATACTTAGGTGTTAAGAGAGCATCTTGGAGCTGGGTGGTGGTGGCACAACGCCTTTAATCCCAGCAGACAAAGGCATGCAGATCTCTGAGTTCAAAGCCAACATTCTCTACGAAGTGGGTTCCAGGATAGCTAGAGCTACACAGAGAAACTCTGCCTTGGGGGGGAGGGCAGGAAGAGAGGAAAGAGAATTCACAAGCATACATGCTTGCTTCTTGGAACTTAGAAGTGAACCAAAGATCTCTAGAGAAGGTTTCTGGAAGGGTAACATTTAAAATGACACCAGAAAGACAAGAAATCTGTGTGGAAGGGCATTCTAGGAAAGAAGGTAGTTAAGAGCTAGAACTCTGAGGCAGAAAAGAGCATAGTGGTTTTAGAGACTAAAGGAGTTTGCAAGGTTTGAAGGGGTGATATGAGTAGCAGAGGAGGAAAGTAGAGGTGTACAGGAGGTCCATGCAGGGATTTGAAGCTGAGATAAGGACCGCCTAGCACCTGAAGAAGTACTAGGGACCAAGTCAGAATTAAGCAGATTCAACAAGGTGTTAAGAGACATCCCCAAGACAAGGACTGGCCGTTGCCACTTCGTGGCGCTGCTGTCAGTGTGTCTTGATTGAGACCTGCTGAGCAAAGCCGCCCAGTTCAAGGGTAGAGTCCCGTTCAGCGATGGCAAGACTAGATCCTTCTCTCTGGCTTCTCAAGTAACAACCTGACCCCACTGTTTGCAGGCCCCGGATCCTGGAGATGGACAAAGAAGAAAACCGGCGCTCTGTGCTTCTGCCCACACACCGGCGGAGGGGAAGCTTTAGTTCTGAGAACTATTGGCGCAAGTCCTATGAGTCCTCGGAAGATTGCCCAGAAGCAGCCGGCAGCCCCACCCGCAAGGTGAAGATGCGGAGACACTGAGGCTGTGTGCCCTCCTGGGACTCTGGCTAATCCTGATGTAGCTGCCCCATCTTCTGTTTCATTTGAGTGTTTTTCTTTGTTTGTTTGTTATTTTGGTCCTATATACGTTTTCCTTGCTTTGTTGCCCATTAAGGCTAAAGAACAGAATTGGCAAAAGACCTGGGTTCTTAGGTTTTTGGCTTTCCTCCTTGATGAAAAAGGCTGTTAGCTTCTGTAGGGGAACACTCTTACCAGAGTAGCCAGTAGAGACAGTGGGAACAACTGTCTTCAAGTGGAACTCTGTCAGGCTAAGGTTATTTAAACACACAAAATGTTTGGTTAAGGAATTCTTGTTTGGGCTTTAAATGTAAATCTTTGCAGTGTTTTAAACAAAGTCTATTCTTTTGCCGGCCCTTTTTCCATTTATGCTCATGCTTGGATGAGGTCCCTTGGAGCCATACAGGCCCTGCATTGGGCCTGCTGCACCTACATCTCACCTGCTGTCCAGGCTCTGGAAGCTCATGCAAATACCCCATTTCCCACTATTCAGGTTGGCTGGGTGTGGGTCTTAAACAGTGCCAGCCCCTGCCGACCCGTATCAAGAGTCCCCAGGCTTAGTGCATGCCTTCTGGCTTGCTCTGCCCACCAATCCTGGGTGGTCAAGGGACTTAGCACAGTGGTCCTGACCTCTTTTGCCAAGAGCATGCCTGTTTGCTGGGTTGCTCCTTTTAGGCATATGTGTGTGATTGTATGGAACAGTTAGACTTGCTGCCGTGGGTCATTTGTAGGAATTGTTTCTAGCTAGAGGAACTGATTTGCTTCCAGTCTTGCATTTGGGTTATGGGAACTTGGGGTGTGTGGTAGGGCTTTGTGGGGTTTTTTGTTTTGTTTTTGTTTGTTTTGTTTTGTTCTGAGGTGTTTCCCTCCCTTTAGTCTCCTTTTCCTTTCTCCTCAGTTGGCCATCTTGGACCTCTTTTCCCATATCATCTCTATATGTAGGTCCATCAATAGCATACATCCAAGGCTAGAAGTCAGACCTGCATGTTGGGTTGGTACTTTCTGTGCCTCAGGGGTCTGGGTGCTGGGGAAGGAACTTCTAAAAATAATAGAAAAAAACAGAACGGTGAAGTCTGCCTGCTTCAATCCTGGAAGGCTGTTAGGCTTTGCTGACCAGGTTCATTAGGAATGACTTTGGCAGCCAGGCCCGCACCAGGCCTGCCCGAAACAGAGGCCTTCTGAGGAGCCATGCCTCCACCACTCCAGAGGTGCACAGAGGCCTGCCCTTCGGGTCTTGGCGGCTACAAAGATGTGGGAGCAGCCAACCATCAGGAAGTCCCTCTTTGGGGTCAGAAATCCTCTACCAGTGTAGATCCCTCAAGCTGAGACTGCATAACTAAAGCAGTTGCAGGTCTTCTGTCGTTTTGGGGTTTTTGTTTTGTTTTTTTCTTTTACTTTTTTTTATGCTCTTTTTCCAAAAATGATTTGTAGTTGTGTGTGCAGCACTTTGCTCTAATTTGTGTGTGCTCTACAATAAAAACCAAATCTAATATATTTTGAAACAGTTGTCTGATGTGGTAAGAGAAAGCCTGACCTTGTTTGTCCCTTCATCTATTTTCTTAACCTTCCAACTGGATTTGGAGAAATCAGATTTATCCAGTGCTCTGAAGATAATAGTCACTACACCTCTTGATTGATGGCTAAAGGTGGACTTGCCCTTGGCCCACTGCCCTCTCCCTTTCAAGGAGGATGGCCTTCAATAAACTATAGTGACCCTGGACACACCTTGTTGAACCCTAGAAGCTACATCCTCTTCCTGGCCTGGTAGAAAGGCAGCAGGCCAGTGCAAATGCCACAAATGGAGCTGGGCAAGGACAAGGAACTCTGGTAGAGGACGGCCATTCTTCACTCCATAGCCAGGTTCTTGAGCTACTGCTCCTGCCACCCTCTGGATAGAACATTGACAGAGCAGATAGGATAGGGTGAAGCTGGGACTCAGTGGGCTTCAGTTCATTGGGGTCCCTAATGTGGATCCTAGAGTGTTGCCAGTTGTTTCTATCTCCCCAGCTCTGCTTCATGATCTGAACCAGTTTGGTCAAATTGCCACTGTGGAATTTGGTCCAGCTATTTCATTATCCATGGACTGACTGGCCAGTACAGTTTGAAAAGCAGTGCTAGGACAGAAAGGACCAGGGCCTCTGTATCATATGTGCAGTGGACTGGAGTGACACTGGAACTGAGAGAAAAGTACCAAATGTCATCCCAACGATGATGTTGGAGAAGTGGTGATTCCACTCCATGCTTGCATGCCTTGCCCTAGGGACAAGGGATGATTCAGACTTGACCCCTGTGATCTACCTGGATAGTGTCCCCATCCGTATGAAGTAATAGCCTTAGTTTCTTACACCTGACTCCCTGACTCTTTCCTGTTCCAGCCATGGCACTGGGCCAAAAGCTTTGTTCCATCAGCCCCTGACTTGCTCCAACAGTAATTGGTGTCAGCCCCACCCACCTTCAGGAGCTCATCCCATTCCTCTAACCCTGTTGTGTGGAGGAAGAAACAGGTCTACAGAGTTCAGAAAAATAAGAGTATCCTATAGGCCAGGCCCAGGATGGGAGAGAGATCTGTATATGACATGCTTAGGTGCACATAAGGTATTTTATGATGTATAGATAGAAAGCAGTAGAGCCCATTAACTATAAGTGTAAATGACATGTACAGTGTGCTTGTAAGTCTCTATAGCTAGTTGTTGCCCACAAAACACAGATTGGCTTTTTGTTGAAATACGGGATTCATCATCTATCTGTGGTTGTAGTTCAAACACCATGTGAGAGAGATGCTTGTTGTCCATGTGTCTTAGCTTTTTCTAAGGCTGCCAAAACATTGCCACAAACTTGAGAGCTTAAAAAGATCTTGTCTCAAAAGGCAAAGCAGCCAGACATGGTGCTTGTCTATAATCCTAACAGAAGCCATAGGAGGAGTGTTGCATGTAAGGCCAGCCTGGTCTACATAAGGGAGCTTGAGGGCAATGAGAACCTGTCTCAAAACAGATACGTAAACTATTTTATGCTCCTGCCGAGGCTCTGGTGGGAGGCCCAGCCTCACCTCTTGTAAGCTTGGTATGGCTCTAACCACTCTAGTTGCAAGTACGATAGATTCTTAGTTACATGGCCTCTTTTGTATACTACATTTTTCTCAGTGCCTCTCTGCCCTCTCCACCGTGTGTGTGTGTGTGTGTGTGTGTGTGTGTGTGTGTGTGTGTGTGTTTGTGTGTGTATAGAAAGGGTCTCACTCTTACCAAGGCTAGCCTTGAACTGGCAATTTTGCCACTGCATCCAACCTTTTCTGTCCCTGTCTTAACTGGGCATTTGTAATTGGATATAGGAACACCCACGTAATTCACAGCGTCATAGCCCCCACTTCCTTTTTTGGTAGTGCCAGGGATGGAACCCAGTGCCTCTCCAGTGTTAGGCGAAGACTACCACTGATCCACATCCTAACCTCCACTCCTTGCAAAAGTAAAGTGTATGCCTTTCAGAAGCTAGAACCTGAGAGCCTTGGGGGCCGCTGTGCAGCTTACCACGCTGCTCTTTTCTTCAAAAATTATTACTAAATCTGTGACCTTTTGATTCCTCTAAGAAATTGTATCAATTGGATTGAAATTTCTCAGCACTATTTTATAATTTAATCTGGATGATAATATTTACTTCATTGCTTGCATTTTTTTTTTTTTTCTTTAGTGCTGGGGATCAGATCCAGGGCCTTGTGCATTCTAGGCCTTGCAAATGTTAGCTTTGCCCCCAGCAGCTCATTGCTTTCTGTAAGTTTAAACTTAACGCTGTCCAACCTGGAACCACTGGACTCTGGCTTTTGAGCACTTGAAATGTGGCTAGTTTCTATTGAGATATGCTTTATACACACCAGAATTTGAAGTTAGTATGAAAAAAAGAATGTAAAATAAATAATTGATAACTTTATATTGATTACATGTTGAAATACTATTTTGGACATACTGAGTTAAATAAAATACATTATTTAAATTAATTTCACCTGTTTGACTCTTGTTTTGAAGTTGTGTTAAGTTGTATGTGTCTGATGTGGACATAGGCACACGAGTGTAGGTGCCTAAGGAGGTTAGAACTAGCAGTGAGCCGTGGTTAAGAAACCTGTGAGCTTGTCCCGGGTGGGCGCTGGGGACTCTACAGACTCTGTTTCTGTGTTGAATCTGGCTGTTGAGTTATTGTTTGCTGGATATCACATAGAATTGGATAGATTGTTAACCTAACGTGTTCAGTCCCCAGCACCAAACACAGACGAAACAAATAGATCCTAAATAGACTAAATGCAGCTAGCGTACACCTGTATGATCCTAGCACTCAGGAAACTGAAGGGATCATACAGTAAACAGAAAGTTCTTACTTTTTAATATTAGTATCTTGGTCTTTAATATAATTTCAATTTTATGTAAATATTTTCTTCCTCCGGTGCTGGGGACCAAACTCAGAACAGGGAACATGCTAGGAAAACACAATAAAACTGAGTCCCATTCTCAATCCCTAATTTTCTTTTGACATTGTTCACTGGCACAGGAACTTTGTGGAAATGGGTCTGATTTTTTGTTTGTTTGTTGTTTTTTGACACAGGTTTGCTCTGTGTGGCATTGGCTATCCTGGACTTATTTTGTAGACCAGGCTGGCCTCCCAAGTGCTGGGATTAAAGGCTTATGCCACCACCGCCTGGCTGGGAATGGGTCTGATTTACACACAAACACACATTATTTATATGTGTATGTATATATGTATTTATTTATTTTGGTGCTAGGAACTAAACCAAGGCCTTGATGGTTGGACAAGTACTCTACCACTGAGCTATATTCTCTAAAACATGATCTGCCAGTTGAGTTTGGCAACTAGCACCACATACTACTGGGTTCCCATTTGGGGGCTTTTGACAGAAGGAACCATCTGGCTGGCTGCTGTGAAGACGACTGAGCAGAAAAGTCAGCTGAGCTGCCAAGCAACTAGGAAGTGTCAAGTAGAGGATCCCAGATACACAGGTAGGTCTGGAGCCCTAGGATCCATCACCAGCTCAGTACCAGACATTCCTTGCTGCAATTCTCCCAGTGCCCTCAGGGTGGCAGCAGAGCCCCTGTGATGGTGTTTCTTGGCCTGAGGAACAGCAGTTCTGGGTTTGGGTGAGGGACTGAGTACCCAGAGGTCACATAACCTGCTTGCGGCTGCCCACTGCTTCTATTTTGCACAGGTAGGGTCCTTGTGGTTAGTACTTGTACTAGGGCATGCAACCTGGGGACAAACAGATGCTTTCAGGTGTTCTATGAGCTGGGGACAGCTGTGAAAGTTGCCTCCGACGTGGATCTCACCCTTGGGGAAGTTGTGCACCTACCGTGTCTCCTGCTTCAGGTGGCATGGCTCAGGCTCCTTCTCTGGCAGGACCGGGCTCCTTGGTTGCTGGGAGTACCTTAGTGCTGACTTCCCCGAGCACACTGTATAGCTCCCAGGCCGGAAGCCTATGACATCGCTCCTACCCCTTTTGCTTTTTCACTGGGAATGAGGTTTCCTACTTACTATCCCTTTCAATACTCACCACGACTTCTAAAACCGCACTTAGAGTCAAATCCTAATTCTACAGCTGTGCAGTGAGCAAGCGGCAACCTCACCGCCTTGAGTTTCTTCCTCTGTAAAATGAACAGAACATTGGACGGTGATGCGCGCCTCCAACCCCAGCACACGGGAGGCACAGGCAGGTGGAGTTCTGAGTTTGAGGCCAGCCTTGGTCTACAGAATGAGTTTTAGGACAGCCAGGGCCATGCAGAGAAACCCTGTCTCCAAACACACAAACAAAAACAAAAATCAAAGAGTGTAGCTTAAGTGTTCACAAATGGGGGAACACTACCCCCTTCCTACAGTGAGAAGATGAAGGTCTGGAGAGGGGAGATGGCGGAGGCAGTACATGATTAGAACCTGGGATCACCCACAGGAATGAAGAAGCATACAGTTCCACTTCCCAGCCGACCTGCTACAGCATCCATACACCCAGTCCCTGCAGCCTCAAGGCCAAAGCCATCCCTTCCCAGGCGCCCCATGCTGAGTCTGTCTGTTATGCTCACAGTGTGAGCCAAATAAAGCACACCCCCCCCCCCCGGGGTCAGCAAGACAAGATAGTTAAGCAGGCAAGGGCACTTGCTGCCAAGCCCGATGACCTGAATTTGATCAAATTCTAGAGAAATCCACTTCTAGATCAAATCTCTAGAACCTGAGGAAAAGGTAAGAGAGAACTGACTCCACAAAGCTGTCTTTATGTGTCCCACTCCTACGTCGTACATATATGCATACATACACGTGTGCATGCACGAATAGTAATAAATAAAATGTTTTGTTTTTTTTAAAGAGCTCAGGTCAATATCCAGGAGCAGGCCTATGTCAAGCTGAATCCTGTCTCAGGAGAAGGATGACTGTATTATCTGCCTTTGACCTTTTCTTTGTTGGGGAGGGGCAACTTCAAGACAAAGGCCCAGGACAAATTCCAGTCTGGCCGGTGTCTCACCATCCTCCTTGGCAAGGTCCTTCTAAGAGCCTGTTTCCTCCTCTGTAAAATGAGGATGGTGAGGACACACAGGCTCTGGACGGAATATACCACTGGATCAGGTGTGCCCACCTACCTCTTTCCTGGAAGAATGAGGCCCTCACCGCAGCCCTAGGGCTGTCCAGCTGACCCCTGTCCTGGTAACCCTCTTGTCCTCTCATCCCTTAGCTTCCTCACATCCTAAGCCTACCCCACCCAGCCTAGATCTCCTGCAGGAATTCTAGACCCCAAGCTCCTGGAAGGCTGAGCCAAGTTAGGCTTTCTCCCTGCACTTTCTCTGCTCCCTTGGGACTTCCTTTTTGCCCTGCTTTAGAATCACCCTCTCCTCTTCTTTTTGCAGGGATGTAGTCCAAGGTGGCCCCAGACCAGATCACTTCTCTGTCCTTAGCTTCCATTTACTTTTGCTTTTTCTAAAGTGGAGTGGTCTTTGTACCTACAAGAACTAAAGATAAAGCCAGGAGGGGTGGCACATGCCTGTAGTCCCAGCACTCTGGGAGGCAGGGGCAGGCGGATCAAGGCCAGCCTGACCTATAGAGGGAGTCCAAGACAGTCAAGGCCACACAGAGAAACCTTTTCTCAAAAAAACCAACAAAACAAAACAAAACAAAAAAACAAACAAACCTAAAGATAACACATATGCCTTTCCTAAGGCACCCTTTCCTGAGGACTCCATTAAAATGTTCAAGCTTAGCTGAGGAACATTTCTACTGTGATAGTTTGAATACGTATGGCCCCTACAGACTTATATGTTTGAATGCTTGACTCCTGGTGGGTGACACTTTTTAGGAGGCGGGGCCTTGTTGGGAAAAGTTTGTCATTGTGGGGGCGGGGCTTTGACACTCCTATGCTCAATTTCTACCCAGTGTGTACACAGTCTCTTTCTGTTGTGTAGAACTCTCAGCTCCCTTCTCTTTTTTCTTTTCTTTTGTTTTTGAGACAGGTTTCTCTGCACAGCCTTGGCTGTCCTGGACTCACTTTGTAGACCAGGCTGGTTTGGGGCATGCAGAATTCCACCTGCCTCTGCATCCCGAGACCATCAGGGCTAAAGGTGTTCCACTACATCCATCTTATTCTCTCTGTCTCTCTCTCTCTCTCTCTCTTTCTTCCTTTCAGGTACATTTTGCTATGTCCTTCAGGTTAGCCTCAAACTCCTAGATTCAAGAGATCCTTTCGCCTCTACTTCCTACGTAGATAAGATCAGAAGGCACACACCACATTTTTTTTTACCTTTTCACAGAAATTCGTGCAATTTAAAGAAAGAGTTTATTGTAGCTTATAATTCAAGGCACAATACATCCTATCAGGGAAGACAAAGGAAGCAGGCACGTGTGCAGCTGGTTGGGTTTGCAATCAGAACAAGAAAGCAGCGAATTTATGCTTCTCAGATGTTAAAAAAAAATCTACTCAAGAGCTGAAGAGACGGGTGAGAGCACAAACTGTGCTTGCCCAGGACCTGAGGTCACCTCCCAGCACTCATATTGGGATTCCAGCAACTGCAGCTCCAGCTCCGAGAGATCTGAAGTCTGCCAATACTTGCAGTCATGTGCACTGCCCCACACCCACAATTTTAAAACTAAAGTAGGCTGGGCGATTTGGGCACACACCTTTAATCCCAGCACTCGGGGAGGCAGAGGCCAGCCTGGTCTACAGAGTGATTCCAGGACAGGCAATGCTACACAGAGAAAACCTGTCAAAAAAAAAAATAATAATCCAGCTGTAGGGGATTTTTCTTATTAGTGATTGGTGGAGGAGGGCTCAGGCCACCCTGGGTGGTGCTATCCCTGGGCAGGTGGTTCTGTGTTCTATTAAGAAAATAGGCTGAGGAAGCCAGCACTCTTTCATGATCTCTGCATCAGCTCCTGCCCCTGGGTTCCTGCCCTCTTTGAGTTCCTGGCCCGACTCTCTTTGTGAGGAACTGTCACACAGAACTGTGAGTGAAGTGAGCCTTTCCTCCCCACATTGTTTTTGGTCATGGTGTTCCGTCACAGCAGTAGTGACTCTAAGAGAGAGAGACCTAGCTCAGCTGGCAGACTGCTCATCCAGCAGGCCCTGAGTTCTGGTCCGAAAGCACCCTCACATGGTTACCGTGGGGCTGGGCGGTGCACACACAGTCTGCAGCACGGAGGTAAGAGAAGGCAGGTCAGCGGGACTGTCAGGCAGGCTACATGGAGAAGCCTGGGTTAAAAGTCTCTTCTGGCTTGCACCTAGAAACACATGAACGAGGCAGCCGGGAAGGCAAGTTTTCTGTAAAATGTGTGCACTGTGTATCCCCTGGCTTTTATCCCTATAGCAAGGGGTGTGTGTGTGTGTGTGTGTGTGTGTGTGTGTGTGTGTGTCATTTCCTATCAGTCTATTCCTGATTGACTAATCTGAAAAGCTGTGTGAAGCAAATGAGGGAAGTTGGCAAGGGGGTGGACCTCTCAGAGCTACCTGGTTGCAGG